AGTCGTCAGCATATGATAATAGCTTTTTAAAAATTTTGGATTAAAAAATAATCAATTTTAAATAATTAAAAAAATAATTTTAATGGAATGCAGTATTTCCTAAAATCTTTATCCTTAAATGATATTTTATTTTATTATCTTCTAAAGGATACGGCCTCATCTTTTATTGACAATCTTTTTTGTTGTTGACATTGTGTTTAGTGTCTTCTGCGACTCATATAATGTATTTATCAATTGAATGGCAATTACTGTTTACCAGTCAATTATAAAGTCAATTTATAAAAGTTATAAATTGATCGTATAAGCAGAGATGTATATGCTATTTGGGGGTATAAAACAGGACAGTTCTAAGTTGCTAGTCTGAGTTTCACCCCCACTACATCCGAGTTTAACCCTTTGGCGGCCAAGGGGTTTTCTAAAGTTCCTACGGATGATCGCAATGAGCGTGAGACTTGGGGTAGCAACTTAGAATTATCTTGTTCTATACATAAAATGCGTAATGCGTAATGCGTAAATGCGTAATGCATAATGCATAATGCATAATGCATAATGCATAATGCATAATGCATAATGCGTAATGCGTAATGCGTAATGCGTAAAATCTATAAATTCATTCAACTAGTTGCTATTTATATATAAATATACATATTTCGTTACATGTTAAAATATATATTTCAATTAAACTTGCTCATTCTATCTCAAGCAGGGGCGAAACTGCTGGGGGGTATAGGAGGGTTCTGCACCCCCCTCCCCAAATCTTCAAAAAAGCAGATTTGGTCGAGCAAATTTATGGCTGCCAGTTTATCGGTCGGGCAAATCTGGAAATTTTGTTTAGGTCGCACATTTGGCCGTTCTGTTAACTAAATTTAAAGAAAATTTAAATAGCTGTTAAAAGTTTTAGGCTGAAAGTTTTAGCGGTAAATAATAGAACATTTATCAGGGAATTGTAGTTAAAGGACAAGTGACACGCTTTTGGCGCCAAATTTTTTTTTTCTTTTAACTTAACGTAAAATGCTGTATGAGAGTGTTGTTAAAATATTTTTCCTTTCTGATTTCATTTTCCCACTTAAAAACCCATTTGAAATTATGGCGGGAAATGAATCACGTGACACCGTGACGTAGATTGTGATAATTTGTTATTGTTGCTACTGGTATAGAGTGCAATATAAACGTTTACAACACGCTTGTAAACGAATACAGTTCGTCTGGACCTGTCGCGTCGTGTTTCGTAAACTCTCTATCAATTACAGGAAAATTCTGAGTTATCACAATGTACGTCATAGGGTCACGTGATAAAAAGCAAAATCGCGCCCTCTGCGCCGCCTGATTAGAATTTTTTGTTTCAAACCAGGAAAAACTTACTTCTAAAAGATAATCTATAAGTTAATGAAAAAAAAAGATAGGGTGAAAAGTGTGTCACTTGTCCTTTAAGATAAGTATTGCAAAAAAAATTGAAGTTTCTTCTATTTCTAAACAATATACATACTTACAAAAGAAATATTTCCAATAAAAAAGATTTTCTTCGCATAAGCTCGAAGGATTTTGTTATGATGAATTCAGAGATACTTATTTTGTGCTTGGGTGTCTAATAATGTTTAATTTCCTTACGGAGCAACCGAAAGTTGAAAATCAAGCTCAGAAAATTAAACTGGTGCTCTTTTATGGGATTACTATTCTTTTTGAAACATTGTAGTCTGTTTCTAAATTCCAAAATTTCCAAGCTGTGTTTTGTTGTTCCATTGTGATCAAATTAAGATTCTCCATCAATCTCTTTTTTAAATTGCTCTCGTTATAGCTAAGAGATTTAGAAAGTGAAGACTAATTTTCTTTTAAAGAAAAAACAGGCCTTACAAATGCTTGCTTTTCGGAAACAAATGTTTATAGCCAACACCAGAAAAACTAGAGGCATATTTTGTTGTCTTTGAAAAACAGCCTGAGTCTGAAGGCCAAACATACTCAGTGCCCCCCTCTCGGGGTCCCCGGTGATTTCAGCCCTTGAGGCGATGTGCTCTAGAAATGATGTTCAGGCATGACACGCCCTTCCATCAAGCATGACACGCCCTTTCGTCGGGCATCGAAGCTTCGTACCCCCTAATGAAAATAGTGAAGTTTCGCCCCTGATCTCAAGGTCATTAAATCAATGATACTACTGCCGTAATCGGAAGAAAATGAATTTTATTAACTTGTTAAAGGTGAGTTTTATTGCTTATTTGGTAGTTGTATGCAAGAAAGGAGTATCTTAGTTTTAAATTCTAGGTAGAGAATGGAAAAGAAATGCTTACTTTTTCTCCAATTTAGGCCAATGCACTTGTCATATCTCCGGAACTCTGTTTGATATTTCGCCTCTGGTAGGAATGGAAGTAGAAGTACCCTTTCCTATCTTTCAGCCAAACGTTCATCCACTTCTCCGCTCTTCGCTTCAATTTCCACGGTCGAATATATGCAGCTCTCTGATACCCAGGGCAAAATGATAGTAATATGCATAAACTGACATAAAAAGAACCTATGAAAAAATAATACCGGGATTTTACCGGGATGATGGAGATGAAACCGGGAGGAGATTGATTGATATTTTCTTTGCTTCATGAACAATTTGAACAGGGTTCTTTTGAAGATTTTGCGTTGATGAGAGACCAATGATACGTGAATATCGCATTCACAAACTTCCAGGGACGCCGGAATGAGAAAGGGGCAAGAGGGGGCAAGCTTGATTAAAAGGGCATTTGAAAAAAGTTTCCAGCTACTAACAATTCTTTCATAACTGTCTCTTTGTTTTGTTCTTCTGAAGTATCATGGAAATCAGTTAACTTTTGACATAAGATATTTCAAGATCTATCAAAAGGCAACAAGGGTGGTAAAGCCCCCGCGCATTCCATTTCCAGCGTCCCTGCGAACTTCTACAGCCCAATAATATTCTAAGCAATCAACACAGGAGCATAAGTGACGGTGTCTTTCTCATTTCTCCATGCAGACACCGGGTTGGTTTCAAACGATTTAACCATGCCTAACTGTTGCAAATCAAAACCAATCGTCCACCGCCTCAAAAAGCTGATTGGAAAATTCTCGAATTTGGGAACAAACGCTTTTAGGATATCCCAAGTAAGTTTTGTAGAAGAAGTTTGATATACTTTTGGGGAAGTTCTTACTGACTTTGCACAAATAATTGATAATTCAAATAGTCTTTTGTCTTGTTCTGTCTGTAAGCCTCAATGTCTGTGAAAGATTTATATAGATTTATTTTTTCATTAAAAAGACTGGCTTTTTGTCCACAGGGTATTACAGAATATACTAACGTTTGTTTTTGCTTTCAAAGGATTATAAAGGTTCAGAAATTTTGATTAAAACCAAAAAAAAATCTTTATACTCTTAGCTACAATGCACAGAAACAGTAGTTAATTATAAGTATCATTTTGCAAACTTTACAATACAAGGTTGATTTATTCATCGATATCTGGTAGTTGCTTGGTCAATATTGCTGATTTGTTTTTATATCAAAGATTCTATCATTGATTTGGTCGTACTGAAAATTAATCTAATGAGTGTAGATTAAATTTTGAAAAAAATTGATTGGTGTGGGGAGAAACGATGGTTGAGCCAGATCTAATAAAGAAAATAGCTACCTGTTAACATTTTGCATCGGCTATTTTAGGAATCAAGGAGGGACCAAACTGCTTCTTTGAAGTTAATGGGGCAAGAAGAGATAGCCACATGGCTAATTACATGTAGTGTCAAGAAATTTGCTTTGTAATCTTTCAAAAATGAAAATGTTTTACTATTTCTATGCGCCTGAAGATAATTTTTTAAGATTGTTCAGGCTTTCGACTCTTGTTTTGTATAGATTTTATAAAATAGTCTTTAGATGCATTCTCGTTGGAAAAAATCTTTCAGCGAACCTCTTTATCAATGAAAAGGCAATTACTCCTGGGAAAGAACACCACTTTTCAGACCAAGGGACAGGGCTGACAAAAGACAGCTCGGGCCCAGGGGTGGTTCAAAAACTGAACCCCCTTAAGAAAAATTCCTGTGTCCACGCCTTTCAGTCTCCCGGAGAACAAGGGAAACGCACATTTTAGGTACAATTGTTGAAAAGGATTTTTACAAGAATGTGCAAAAACATTTTAACACGAATCAAGAACATGTGGACATTTCTCTGCGATAAACTCATAGGCGTTGATCCCGTATAAGTATCTGAAATATTACGGGCCCCATCGGAGCACGGGCCCCGGACCTTTTGCCCCTCCCAAACACCCCTCTCGACGAGAAATTTTTACAAAATGGATTACTTTTCTTAGAAAAAGGGGTACTTTTTCTTAAAAGTAAAGGGGCCAGAGTCCTAATCTTTTCCGCATCATCATTACATCATCTTAATACATCATTACTCAGCAAATTTGTTTTTAGCACTTAAATGTGTATAGAAGTAAGTATATTATTAATTTGTAAGAAATTTCAGCCAGTTCAGTTCAGTTCAGCTCAGAAATCAACAGTCAACATACTGTCTTTCCCTGGCTCTGTGTTCTCTGTACGTTAAATAAAACTCGAAGTATCATCACGATGAAGTTACAGGAAACAGGGAAGGAACCACGGCAATTCCTGCTACATAATATCGCTCCTATACATTGCCTTGGGAAATAGCCCTGATTTCTGAACTTTTATCATACAGTGTTTGGACTATCATGAAAAGTAAAGGAAAGCTTTACAGAGAAATATTTTACAAGAATCTTGAATTTTCAACATAAAAAATGTAAGGATGATCTGAAAAACTCTTCTAAAATTTGTGTTACAAGAATAATTTTTACCAAAACCAGAAACTTCGCAAAGTAAATTATGTATTGAAAATTTCAAAGATAACAACAAAAAGGAACGGTAAGCGCCTTTAAATACAGCATGATGCAATAAATACACCTGCAATCTTTAAGAATACAAGAGGTTGCCTCGATTGATTCTTCTATTCCCTGCTGCGCAACTTGGCACTGCAGCTGTGCGGGAGCCTTATCAGCAGCGTCATCAGGGTGGCGCGCTTGTTGCTTAGGCCAGAAGTACAAGGGTGTTGAAGTTCCTACTCGCTGCAAATAAAGATGGCTGTTAATGTCTACAGCACCAGTGCTACGTCCGAAAATCTTAGTAGACATGAAATGCTAGCATGGATAAACGAATCACTAGTAACATCTTTCCAAAAAGTCGAGCAGTTATGCACCGGTGAGCTCTTACCGTACATTTTGTCGAGCTTATTTGTTGGCCTTATTATATTTTGTACTTTATTCATTTTATCTAAGCTTTTCAAATTAAACTTGCATTTACTTTGTCTTTGATGCATTATTTAAGCTATGTTCCCTAAAACCCGTTTCCGAAGCCCGTCTGTGTAATTTCTCACACTGAGGAGGAAAATAACAAAAAAGATTATTCTTTTTACTAAAGAAGATTGATTGCTGGCTGCTTCAGACCATCCCTTCCGCTTGATTGGTTAAAACTCCCTAACCAGTTTGAATAGCAGTTGACTTGTGTAATAAATGTAAAATCCGTAAGAAATGATTTATTCTTTTTTCATAAACTGCTTGCATTTTTGTTATAGGAAATTATGTTTTTAACTTATGACTCATGAAATTTGACAGCTGGATTTTTTTTGTATTGTATTCCTCTAATGGATTTTTTCAAAATTCAAGAAATTTTAATCATGGTCCATGCATGCTTCGTCACAAGTGTGTGCCAAGTTCCCTCTCTATCTAGGGTTAGTAACTTTTAGGCCCTATTCAGTTTCTTTGTTATCCATCCATAATTAGTCTATTATCTAAAAATACTTTGAAATAGGCTTCTTAGACTGGTTTCATCCACTCTAAAAGGTAACAGTGAAAGTTTCTAGACTTTTCTTGTTTTTTAAAATAAATTTATCCATATGATCATATGATGATTCAACTCCAGAGTGAAAAGTTTGTAAATTTTGCCCAGAGACACTAAATCTAAGTTTGACTTGTGCCACTATGATTTACAACGGAAATGTATATGTTGATAAATGAATATTGAATATACTTCATGTTGATTATGCATGGCTGCAACTGAGGTAAGGGAATCGTATTGCAAGGTTAATGAATCCATCACAAACTTTCTAATCTGGATTGAACTAATTCTTTAGACTTTGCATAAGTTGGGAGGCAAAGAGCAGAATGATATCCTGTTTTTAAAAAGACTGTGCTTATTAAAAAGGATATATACTGTTAAACCACAGGGAATGATGGTTTGGCTCCTTGAAAATTTTCAAAAACCACACCTTTAAAAGTGTTGAACATCTATCCTGGAATCAAAAATATTTTTGCTGGATATATTTCTATATCAGTTCAGCAAATAAATAAATCCAGAAACTCTCATTTATATATTGTTCATTTTTATATCATGATTATAAATATTGCTTCAAAATGAACTTTTCTAAAATTTCATACCATTATCAATTATATTAGCTGAGTTTCCACACTTTCAAATTAATAGCATAGTTTAAGTAAATTTGCTGTATGGCTGCCATTTTGAATTTCATCAAAGGTCACAATTTTTGTACCTTGCTTTTGTATTCTTTGCTTTATCGTGCCAAGAAAGTCAGAATTTTCATGTCTACTAAATATGAAAAAAGCATAAAAAAATTTTTAGGACTCCAGCATTACTGACTTATATACCACTTTTAAACTAAAAATTTACAGGAAACAACTTTGACGCAATTCTTTTAAAACTCTTCCACTCTATAAGTGCTTTACTTCGGAAGAAACCTTTTTCTGAAAATGGCATTTCAAAGTGATTAGACAATTCAGTGATCTGCTGGTCTCCAAAGGTCTTATCATCAAGCTACCAGTATTGAGGATCAACCCCTGTGTGCTTTTATAAATCTATCTTTTAGCAATCTTTCAAGTTTACTGGCAGTTGATTTAACTGCTTCTGGGACACAAAAGTCTCCACGATCCCATTGCATCTCTGGAAAGCAATTTCTGTGACAAACTGTTTATTTGAATCCTTTCTTCTCTCATGGCCTGATCTTTCATAATCCTTTGAAAGGTAAATGTTTGGGGGTTCTGATGCACCTCCTATTTCATTTATTGAAAATACCTTAAGTTGCTTTCGGTGGGGACTTCATTTTGATTGCTTGCATCTATCATCTCTCTGCGACCTTCTATTGCAATCATAACATTTGGATAAACTTCACATGGGAGCAGATTCTCTGCCTCAAATACCAGGGAAATTGGACTGACTTTTTCAATTATCTCCAGAAACTGCATACTTTATACAATACTTAAATGCTTTTGAATTTTGTTAATAACGTTTTAATTTTAGTAATTGTTTCTGTCTTATTTTAATTGTCAGCCACTGCATTTTCATAGTGTGTAATAAAAACAGACCATATGCAAGAATCTTGCAAAGCCTCTTTTCTTATGGCTGATAAATCTTGTTCCTGTAATTTCTTGGGAGAACATAGTGAGTAATTCCCATAGCTGCTGCAGCAGCTTCCAGTGATGATGCAAGATGAGCTGATTTCTTGAGCAGCTTAAGATTTTGTTGGTAAAACCTATCAATGTCTTCAAAGTATGCAGATGTCAAGGAATCTTTGACGGCCAGCTCAATTCTGTGATTCACACAATAAACCAAGGCCTTGTAGTTGGGTTCAAATTTCTTTGTAAACACCAAAATTCACACTTGCCCCATCAGCAGTACCAGCAACCAATGGGTTAACATAGAAATCATTATCAAGACGAGATTGCTCTACAAAAACATCATCAGCAGCCTTTTTAATGGCATTAGTATTAGCACCACCATAGTTTGCTATCTCTATCAGAGATGTAGCAAAGTACACAGAAATACCATTTCTAACAGTTCTAACAAGCACCAATTCTTTTTCTTTCTGAATCTTTCTTGCTTGATTCCATCTGTTAGTACTGAAATAAAGTCACTCAATCCCAGTATTACAGCAACTTTTTCTTGAATGGCACTAGCTATGTAATGCACATACTAATGTAAGAGTGGCTATCAGTTTTCCCTCTGATAAGGCAAACCCTGCTGCTGTTAAAAGCATTTTCTGATAAGCCTTTTGCGCAGTATGATCCACAAAGGTCAAGATAGAAGTCTGCTGAACATGTTTTCTTTCCATTGAGGTCATACAGCCACTTCTTGAAACTCTTTCAACCACTGGTTTTCTTTGTTCTAACAAAATGGCAATTGCATTTCCTTGAAGATGACATTTCACGTTGAACTTAGAAACATATGATGTTTCATCAATATAGGCCATCATGGCTTTACTCGCAGGCCCTTTGCAATTTGGGTGGCACTGAATTTCCTTCGATACATTCAGCTCAATTTGTACCATATAGTCGCGACGGTTGTTTATTTCTTTGGTTTTGAAACCAATTATGCCCTCATTTCCCCATGGCTTGAACGTAGCAAATTCCACAGTTGATTTTGCATTCGCACTACAGAAAAAGGCCATTTTCCTAAGGCACTTACTTCATGAAAATATGGCTTGTCTATGAAAGTTTGAGAAATGAAACCTGCTGTGGTCATGCACTTAATGTAGCTGAGGTGGAAATTTCTTCACATACATTATCCAAACAAATAGTTTTTAAAACGCTGAAGGCTCTCCTATAATCAATCATGTTGAGCACCTCTCCTCGGAAGGCCTGACTCCAGTATTCATCTGGCTGTCACTTTGTCCCTCATCAACACCCAAACATTATATTTCATGCAGTTGTACCTTTATACAGCAATTCAAGATCTACTTGCAATTTACAATAATTTTTTCAGTTAAATACAGGTATTGTGTTAAGTTATAGGAATCTAAAAAAACTCCTTTTTATGAATGCTGTTAGTAACACATATATATTTATGTTCAGGATAGCAGCTGTTAATTTATCCCAAGTTTGGAAACTAGATTGTTCTTTATTTTAAAATTTTCAGTCGTGTATTAAGATGGTTTTTAAAAACAAGAAATCTTGTTTTGGAGTGATCTTAAACTTTTGCACCATGACTGTATTAGGTTGTAAAATAAATTTTGACTTGACACAAATCTTTGCTGCAGAACAACAGAAAAATATATGAAAATTTTCATGCAAATAAATGTCATTAATAATAATTTGATATGGATTTATTGTTAGTACATTATGATAATATTCTTAGTAAACAATGCTTTTGCTGGTCATGCAAAAAAATTAAATTGCTTAATTAAACAAACATATTTCAAAATTATTTTTGATGTGAAGCCTATCTTTTGCCTTTATTTTCTTAAATTGTATTTCGGCAATATTAATGATTATTGTTTCATTTTCAGGTGCTGCTTATTGTCAATTTTTGGACATGTTATTTGAAAGTAAGTACGTTATTGGTATTCTGATTTTTGATTCCAATCTTCTGGCTAGATAAATTGACCGACATTATGTTTATTTGCCAGAACTAAAGTATGTTTTAATCACAATGCATTTGCTTGAAATAAGGCAAAAATTTAATGCTTCTGTTTGAGATTATTAAGCTTACTGCTTGTAATTATTCATTTTGTACTTCTTTTCAGTATGAATTTTTAATTTTGATAACAGATAAGGATTCTCATCATTAATAGCATAGAGAGAAGTAGCACATCAGAATTTAAACATCATTACAGAACATCATTGGCAGATGTGAAGAAATATTATTAATCATGTTTTGTCTTCTGTTAAACAACTATTCGTTATCTAAAAATCTAGTTTCTTAGATAGTAGATGAGTAGCTAATTGAGAAATTCTTGGTCATTTTTCTCAGTTTGATCACAGCAGTCGCGTGCCAGCAGGGGGACTACCAGACTACCCCATCTCCCCTCTTTTGAAGGTTTTTTAGTAAACTGACAATAGATAAATATAGATTGGCATGCTCCAGAGCTCTTGGAATTTTCTGCACATTTCCAAACCTTTGAAGGACAATTTGAAATAGCTTAATGAGGGGCAGAATTTTGACCCTTCCCCAACCCCCTTGCCCCTGCGGTTTCATCACCAGCATGCCACTAACACCATGTGATAACTGCACCTTCAACAACAGGTAGCTGCTGATTTCTATGTTCCACATGAAGCCACCCTTACAACAAACACATCACCTTCTCACACTTCCTTTTGTCATTATAATTTGTTTATATTTTGTTTATAGATTGTGTTCCTATGAAAAAAGTAAAATTTGATGCTAAATTAGAACATGAATTTATTCAAAACTGGAAAATACTGCAAAATGGATTCAAAAAATGTGGCATTGATAAAGTATGTTTCCATTTTTGTCTTATTCTAGTTTTTTTTTCATGCCTTCATCTTATTTTGATTCCTTTACCATCTTATTTACTTTTTAGTTTTGTGTTACTATATTATCTGTTTTTCAAGTATTGTATACATGAATTTAATAATGCAGTTGTTTTATAATGTATAATGCTGCCAAAAATAAGGGTGCAACTGACTGCCATATGCACAGGGCACCAAGTCTGATGAGCTGTCACAAAATTATATATTACTTGGAGTTTTGATGCAATGAATGAGAAGTAAGCTAAGACTAGATATTTCAGACAATCAGTTTGGATTTGTAGTCGATAAAAGAACTAGAAATACCATCTTTACACTGTGTATGATGATTGAATGAACAATCAAAATGAAGGTTTCCTACCAAGCATTCAATGGGGTTAAACATAACAGACTGTTTCAAAAATATCGAACAGACTCGGCCTAGATCAAAAGGACTGACACATCACAAGACACTTCTACTGGGACCAAACTGTAGTTACAAAACTAGATGTTGATGTCAGCGACTTCAAACCAATAGAAATCTGTGTCTTCCTGAAATTAATAAAAGGATCGTTATGGCAAAAGCTGGATTTTACAATATGCATTCAATAATGAAAGATAAATTCATCTAAATGAAAACTAAAATAATGATCCTGAAAACGTATGCCTGATCACTCATTCTTTGTGGGTGCGAGACCATAAGCAAAGAGATAGAGAAGAAAATCATGGCAGCATAGGTGTGGTCTCTACACAGGATGTTGAGAATATCATGAGTTTAAAAAGTTTCAAATGGAGAAGCTTTGAGAAGAGCTGATGTCAAAATAGAACTTTTCTGTATTATATGAGAGAGGCAGATGTCATTTGTTGGCCATATATATATAGAAAAGCCGACATTGAAAGAGCTGTGATGACATTAAAGCCGACATTAAAAGAGAGAACATGGGCAAGAGAGATCATGGCAGACAGACCAACATATCTTCAGATTCTCAACTACTGGTCATCCAATTGATTGAACAAAATCGAGTTTCTGAGAACAGTAGATAGGAAGGAGGATTGGAAGCTAATGACTGCTGATGTCTGCAACAGGCCTGGCACTTAAGAAGAGGAAGAAGAATTTACTGATTTCATGCCATATTACATGAGGAACACCATATAGCATTTTTTCAAAGAGATATATTTTTTTCATTTACTTAAAAGTTTTCCTACAACATTGTAAAATTACTTTCATACAGGCCTTGCGCTTGATCAAGTGCTTCCATACGTACCTAGAAAGTTTATGATCTCTGAAAATAAATAAAGAACCAAATTTGTTTTTGATAAGATAGTTATGAATTTGTTATCATCAATGTATAAAAAGGTATCTTTCTGATGAACTTACTGGAATACAATCTCCAGCCCCAGTTGTGATAAAGAATGTGGTTCTGTTCTATTTGCAGCCTGTTTGTGTCCATAACAGCTATTTTTTTCTTAATTTTCTTTTTTCTGTTTATTTGTGTTCCATACTTCATTTTCTATCTTTTTGATGAGCAGTTAACAATGCTGCTTTTGTAAGTAGTCAACTTACACCACCATTTCTGGATCACCAATTTCTGGTTTCTCTAAAAAGTAGAGGAAAATTGGTAATCCTTTAATGGCTGAATGATATACTTGAAATTCAGGGGGCTTTGAAAAAGTATTATATTTGTACTCAAAAGTCAATATATTTGGAACATTACAAGTGAGGGATTGCCAAAAAGGAAGAATTTTACTGCATTAAAAAGTGTAGGCATACAGCAATTATTAGCCTGTTTGTGGGTATTTAATATGTCATACTGTTTAGTCCTTTCGTTTTAAAATTACAGCTCCTTAAAGCAGTATTGAGCAAAACTAGCAACGATTCTTATCAATGGACTTTTCTAAATAGATTATGATTTGAGCGTTAGTTGAATTGCAGTTAGCACAATAAAGAGTCCCAACACTTGATAACAATCTTTAAACATTTGTTGGCATGAAACTGTTTTGGAATTATTATATTACAAATCTTTCAAATCAGAACCTTAAACAGTGATTTGATCAATTTCATTAGGTTATCCCAGTGGAAAGGCTAGTAAAAGGTAAGTTTCAGGACAACTTTGAATTTTGCCAGTGGTTCAAAAAATTCTTTGATGCCAACTATGCAGGTGGGGAATACGATGCTGTGAAGGCACGAGGTGGTGTTGACCCATCAGGTTGTGGACCAGCTGGATTGTCAATCGCAAAGAAACCATCTGGCATAGCTACAGGAGGTAAGACTGTCCTGACATATTACTATTGGGTGGCAATATTTCTTACAAATAGTTGAATGGTTTTGAAAGTAGCTTGATTGGTAAATATTTGATGGATCCCATTTCATCCAGAAATGTAGATGTTTTGTTGAAATTCTTTCCAAGCTTTGCAAGCAGCGAGCAGTATATGATTATGATTTTGAGAAGACTTAAGTTTAAAAGAGATTGTTGTCAGAGTAGAAATGGATGTAGGCCTTCCTTGCATTCCACTCCTAGAGGATCTGTCCCAAACGTTGTTTTACTAAAGCAACAGATACAGCTCAAAGCATGCATTTGTTGATGCTACTTTTTCTAAATACATTTCTATTCTTCTTTTCATTTCCATTAGTATGTTCTAGGTTAGTGCTTTCTATGCATTTTGTATGGCACACCTTAGTTTGTTTATTTTGTATTTGCAAAACAAAACATCATAAGGCAAAAACATCATAAGTAAAAAAAGCCATTCATCTCCTTTGTTACATGTTCTGCAGTTAAATTTTTGATAACTATTTCCCTAGTTTGTGTGTTTAGACTCCAGCTGAAAGCATTTAATAGCCATTCTTTGTGTCCTTTAATGATTTTTCATTGTTCTAGCCAGATATTTTGTACCCGGCCTTTTTCTATATGTCTGTGTTTTAATTTGTTGCAAATTCTAGCACTGCCTTGTGCTTATTTTTAGTTTTGTTTATTCACATGCACCTACATTTTAATCGTGATATTGTTGTGTCACTTTTCTACCTGTGGGAAAGATATTACCGTAACTCCTTCATTAAAGATACAACTGGACGATCACTAACCATGTTCAAAATCAGGGCCTCAATATAACCTGTGTTTTATTTCTCATCGCTTGTATTTAAAACTCTGTTGTTGTGGGTCCTAGAGTCTAGCTGTTTGTGTACATGTACTAACGGTGCAGCAGTGTTGTCCTAACCACGTGTTTCTGCTCTTTGAAGGTCACTACGTCTGTTCATATTTTAGTATCTGCAAGAAAGCCAGTAGGGGCTACTCGTGCGCCTGCCCCGAAGCGGGCACCGGTAGCTAAACCAATGCAAACACGCACTTCACCTGCAGCACCATCGGCAGGTCGAGCTGCCCCGCAGAAGAACCAGACACCCACGAGAAATGATGTCAACGATGAGCAGATCGGCGAACTAACAGGACAGGTGAGTGTGCTAAAAATATTAGTAGATAAAATTATTGTAAGGGCAGCAGAAAGGATCCAGAACCGAAAAAGATATTCCATCAAAAATTCATGATTATTCAAATTAGTAATTCAAATTAGTTTTCTCTATTTCAAGATGGAGCATAGCTATTTGCAGATAAAACTGAAGTATCCTCTTTTAAAGTTAAGAGATTAAGGCGGACTTTTGAAATTATTTACATGGACCTTTTCCATTCATGTTGTTTTCGTGATATTGACAAAATCAGTGCTGTGTGTCTCATTTTATGTTGCAACTTTCTTCTATAGATGGCAGAGCTAAGAGTCACTATAGAAGGCCTAGAGAAAGAGAGGGATTTCTACTTTGGAAAATTACGGGATATAGAGGTCTTGTGCCAAGAGGCGGACGGGGAGTCAGACACCAATCAGCGTATTTTACAGATTCTTTATGCAACTGAGGTGAGCTGCATTTTTATTGTTTCATTTTATATATTTTTTCGAAAATCTAGAAGGGTCTAGCCTTCTCTTCTAGTTTGCTGCTGAAGCTGATGTCCCGATGCATTTCGCTGCCCATTTAATTTCCCATTGGTTGGACTATACAATAGACCTATTGTTACGTATCCAATCGGCTAATTCTCAATGTTTTCTCGATCAAAAACTCGCTGCAAAGCCTTGTGTAAACTGACTAGACATAGTCCCTTTAATATGCACACAAAAATAGGTCGATTAATAGTTTTCTTCTTCATTTGAATTGCTGGATGTTTTTCTCAAGAGAAAACTTGTAGGGTGAAGAAAGCTGTTTTGTCAAAAGTGAAAATTAATAGGGAGTCCTATTTCGATATTAGAAGAGAGGGGTTGGATGTTAAGGTACCTCACTCTCAATTTATCTATCTTTCAATTAGATATTTGAATGAAAAGCAAGATTGGTCCAAGAACCGTTTTAGACCCTTAAGCTTAAACTGGGAAATTTTCAGAATTTCTTGAAAATTTTAACCAAGGATGAAGAGATATGAATTGTGGACACGTCAGAAAATACAACTGTTTGTTCGCTTCCACAATATCTCTTCCACAATGAAAGTTTCTCCCATTCTTTCAAAGGAAACAGATCTACAATGTTCACCGGGGTATTTCGAAAGTTACAAATAAAGGCAAAGTAACTATGCTTTAAAAGTTATTGTATATCGTTAAACCTCCGGGTTATCCACTTTATGAAAATATTGCAGTGTCAGTTTGCGAAGAGCCTAACAATACGCGAAACATAATTTCCACAATATTGTTCAATAGTTGTTTCAACAGGGTGAAACTGAACAGAAACAAAAACTTGCTTGCGAAAGCCGCAAAGAGGTTGAGTTGTAGTTCTTATTCATTTATACACACACCAAAGTTAAACTCCACAATATAACAAAATTCTTCTTTGGGTTGTTAAAACGAGATAAAACGTCCTTGATACGTTCTGTCAATTAAAGTTGAAAATCAAAACTACATTGAAAATTCTTTGTATCAAATGTTTGTGGAAATTTTTATTGATATATTTTCATCCACGAGAATTAGCTGATCAAAGAAGACAATAATCTTTTGAAGCCATGGGGACTGGCCCTTAGTTTTAATTGAGTATCTCTGGCTCCACCAGCACCAAATTTATCAGCTAATTCACCGCACAATGTGTCTCTATGAAGTCTCTATGTTCATATTTCTTCTCGCGTTCTGAAGTAACGAAATTATTCCCTTTAGGACGGATTTGCAGCTCCCGAGGAAGGCGAAGGTCTCGGCGATGAACAGGAGGAATACTAGGACTTCGATGCAAACAACCTTTCAGCTGATATCGGCCTCACTTGAATAATAAACGAAAAGCATTTGGACGTAATCAATTGTGTTTAATGTTTTGTTAGTAGATCGTTTTAATTTCTATTATTTTAAAAATCAAACCACTATCTGTTCCAGTTTACTGGGCATTTAACCGTAAAGAAACGGAACAGTTCACGTACTCTGTGATGTCACAGTTCCATTTGTATTGTTGCTTGTGTAGTTCATATGTTTAGAATAAACCTAGGGCAGTTTCACTGCCACTGATTAATTGAACCTGTAGCACGATGGCGCCCCTAAATCAGCCATAGTTCCCTTAAGATCGTCTCTTTTTTTGAAGTACACTACTTTTTGCTCACATCCCCGCCCCTTAGTACGCTAGTTTTTGCTTTCCTGGCCGATTCGATTATACCTTCAACGCAAGGTGTTTTGTTGACTAACAGTATAGCTCTTTTAAAAGGACTTTTCCTAGTAAATATTATTTTCAATTCCAGTCCCGATATTTATGACCGATAAGCTTACGGTTAATTTACACTTAGTGCTCGTAGTGGCTATTTTTGTCATAATTGTAAGTTCTCAGGTGGGAAGTCACCACCGTGTTCAAGAACAGATGTCGGATGCATTAAACTTCCTAAAGGGTTTTAGTTTATCAATTAGCTTTTCTTGCGTAAAATTCTTTAGCGAATGAGGGCATCAATAGAGTCGAAAACATGTAGTACTTTTCTGTCCATTCTATTCTTCCTGCTTTCAGAAGAAAAATATTCGTATAAATTGCACGAATCGTGCATCTACATATACATCAATTACTGTCTGCCTTCTATGGAGAAGATGTGGGATGTCATCAACATGTCCGCAAATGAGAGACAACTGAGAACTAAGTGATTTGAACTCAGGCAAAGAGGAATCATTAGTCTCCTCCAGGTTTCTGGGTCCCCACAAATCACACGGTTTCTTGTCAGAGGGTATGCATGCAGGGGCGCCTACACAGGGGGGCTGGAGGGGCAAGAAGTGCCCTGAAATACGATGATCACTTTGACTACTCTCGTTATGTTAATATCTATAAGAAAATACAAGAAAGATGGTAACACCAGCACAACAATGCAGAGAATGAAAAGTTTGTCTGTGATAAGGTCAACCACAAGAGGGAGAGCGGCAAAGATAATAAATGATAAACATACGACGTGTTCCCTCAGAAGTACTCCAGGAACCTAAGGAGGATAAATCGGTATAAAAACTTAGCGGGCAATCAAAATTTTACAACCAGCCCATTTATAACAGCCATAATTTCTACAAAACCAAATATTGTGAATAGTGAGTGACAAGGCCATTTAATAACCATTTTCATTTATGGATAATTTCGTCAGCATTTTCTTTATGTTTAGAATCTTTGATGGTAAAAAACCCAGCTGTATGGGTGGCACATATTCAAGTTAATATTTTATTATGTTACCCCACCTTCGCCCCCCTCCCACCTAGAAATGCTCGATTATGTTAATAGAAAAATTCAACGATTTGCCGTCGGCACCAACACTGCCCCTCCTGCCCTAATATTGTGCAGGCGTCCCTGTAAGCACGTCAGCTTTAAGTTTGCATAGAGTTGGACACATTTTACTGACTTCCTACCCTGGCGTTTTGTACAACACCCTATTGTTAAATTATGCAGATTACGTCTAGATATCCTTTGTATCCTAACCCTAATCTTGGTGTCTCAAATCTCATCGAAGGTTTCTGATATGGAAAGAGGTACAATGAACGTTCAATGAATGAGTTTGGGTTGCATCATTCTCGTCTATGACAGCACTTGGCAACATTTGTTTGTGAACGTTTCGAAACTAGCAATAATTTTAAAGACTCATTGCTAACAATGAGCCTTCGCGAGGAAGGCAAGATATCCAGGCGACAATCCAAACAGTAAACTTCTACGGATTAACCATAATTGATTTCAGACTGTCTGAAAATGCATTATGGGATGCTTGCGTAGCGCAATGGCTCATTGTTAGCAATGAGTCTTTAATATTTGAGGATAACGAACGTTTCCCGCGAAATTGTGCGCCGAATTTCTAGCAAAGGCTTTCGAAGTTTTTTCTTGTTGTCAGAAGTCAGGAGTTTCATTGGTGAAATATTTGCGGAGAATTTGACCTGATGAACAAATAGATAAATGCTGTGCACGGAATCTACGGCAGATTCTTACTAATGCGCGGACAGAATGAAGGATGAAAATTGTTACGCGAGGGGCTCCGTGAATCATCGGATTTCATGCGAACATTCTACCAACTTGATCCATACATTCTGTCGGAACACTTAGCTGTGGTAAAACTGTAAAAGCCATATTGCCAATGTAGAAGAGGGCTGCTTTGATAAATTTTCACCATCGGATTTATATGTGAAATCTGGCTCTCGCTGGTACAATTAAGGGATAAACAGGCTCACAGCGCAGCCATTTAGCTAGCAGAGGCAATAGCCCCCCCCCCTCTTTTTTTTGCAAGAATAGGTTAGAAAATGTTCTGTAAACTGGAAAGTTGTTCATTTTCTTGAATGGACACTTTCTTTTATCTGTCCCTGCCAAGAGATGAATGAAGTGAAATTCCTAAAATTAGTTTACTTGTTTGTTTCCAAGCGTACTTTTGAATGAGAGGTTGTTTGGAAATGGCTTCCGAATAAGCTGGGATCTTTAGGAGATTCCGCAGGTGTTTTGGTTGAAATGAGAAAGAAAACGCATACAATATGTATGGACCAAAGCGTTATCCATTCAACAGACGTAGCCAGCTGAGTACAGCTCTCTTGATATGGTGGATTTCTTGTTATTTGTCTTGCATCTTTCATGATTTGTAGACTTTCATGGTTACACGCTTCATCGCGGTTCACAGGAAGAACGGCCTTAATCAGCCTTCTTCTTTAGATTTTTTTGGGAAGGGAGCGTCCTTTGCAGTTCCCTGAGAAATTAGCTACCAGGCTGGATACGAAGTTAGAATGTGGAACGTTTCTTCCAAATTTACATGAATGGCAAATATATCTGAAAATATCACGGCTGGCATCAATGGCCCGGCAAAGTTTATACCATCAAACGAGGTTTGTGAATATGTCAATGTATAGTTTTCAAGATGAATTATAGGCAAATCTTTTAGAATAAGGTCTCTATATTTTGGAAAACTTGTTACTTTTCGTTTTATTTATTTGAATAGCATGTTATTTATAATGATTCATAGTACTGCACCTAATGAAAAGCCTGCCAAAAAGTCAACACACTACCTACTGATTCAATGTTTTTCGATGTCACTGTGTCCACGTAGAGATTGCCGAGCTTAGAAGCCAATTTTTTCATCGAGTACTTAGAAAAATATTCGCAGAATCTTTTGCATTTGAGTTAGCTGTGAACCCCAATGTCGAGTTATTTTATACTAATGTAGAGATGAAGCCTATAAAAACATTACTAGCAAACGCCAATCAGATTTATTTTTGTTTCTCGTTTGTTTGCATCTGCAGGTAGGTGTAACTGACAATTACCAGGGTTGATCCTGACAACATATGCAGACACTTTGTAAACAGTAACCTTAGGCTCCATTTAATTCATTTTCTTTACAAATCAATTTCCCGATATGAATACTGGCTTTTTTTGAGCTGTTCAAGCTTATTAAGAAAATATTTCAGAAAGTATCTTGAGTTTCATGCTGCGCAAATTTTTAGTTAGCATTTCTTGAAGGTAAACTTTGAAAAGAGATCAAAATAAGTAGGAGGCTTTAAATTTGCTATTGATATTTGATTGACTGAAACATCATGCAATGATATGTGCTGGAACAGTATGCATCTTCACTGAATGTTTCAATCAAATACCAGATTTCATAGGCTTTTTGTTTGTTTGAAGCTAATAAATTCAAATCATGTATATATCTTTATAACTGATTTAAGAAAGTTGGCCTAAAAACAGTCTTTTTGGAAGATTGAAGATTTTTTTCCAAGGCCTGTTCAGGATATCATTTGTTTCTTGAAATCAATTCTTTTCTTTTAGAAATTTTTAGCACTAAAGGAAAGGTCTGGATAACTTTTCATTTTTGAGTATCTGAAGAAGTTTTGTAACCTTTCATTTTTGAGTATCTATGTTTGATTCCTGTACATTGTTCCTGTTTGATTCCTACCATATGGCTACCATACCTTCAATTTATTTGTGTTGTGGCAACGTTCATTGAACAGAATTTGTTCTGCCATATAAAATTTAATCTGTCTGCAAGCATATCTCAGTTTTTGGTTGTAATCATTTGAGATTTAGTATCTGGGCAGGAAAAAAGCCCATCGATGTGAATGATTTAAACTCTGGTTTATGTGAAAACCATTTATAAGCCGATGTGGCACATATTATGATGCTCACAAAACCAGAATGACTTTTTCTGCTTTTGTCTAGATTGAAAGTATCGTTGAATTAGTAATTTCTGAAATAAGTTACTGTGGCTTAATGAACGACACAGGTCTGGCCATTTTAGGAGAGCGAAACCTAATTCTCCCCTCCAATCTCCTTGAATCCTGAAGGGGAGATACAGATTGCTCCAATAAACTGCTCTAAAAAGAAAGTTGCTCTCCTTTAAATCAATTTCTCCTTTGTTGCTATTCTTATTTATCTACAAATTGCTCACCTGGAAATCACTAGAAGAGCTGTTTACTGCTCCCCTGCTAAAAGTCTTATGACCAGGCCTACAACATAAACAAGTTTTGTAAAAGAAGTTGTTATTTCAGAACAAAAAATGAAATGCAGATCAATTATTTAGCAGTAGCCAAACCCAGGTTTTTTATGCTCATAAAATTTTTGGAGATATGTTAGGAATTACGATATATAGAAATTTTGATACAATACTACAGAGACTATGCAACAGGAAGCAAAAAATGCTAAAACTGCCCTGAAACTGTCAAAAAACACTTACAAAGCTGTGCCAGGTTTTAATGCTATGAAAGGGACAAGGGAGGCCCTTAACAAAAAACCCTGGGAAGTCAAGCAAGAAGCAGAAAGGGCTGCTTTTTAACATCAGCAAACGGCTCTACTACTACAGATTTGTTGTGTTTTCTCACAAACAACTCAATAGTACCAAACATTCATCTGTCAAATTTTTTGTTTCTTTTCTCATAATTGTGTATGTATATAAGGAAAAAGAGATTAATTTTGTTAATAACATTTACAATGCCTATTTTAAAGAATATTTTTATTTTGCTTGAGACGATATACTTTGCATCTAAGCCTCAGCTCTGATATCATGGGGGGATATGCAGCTTAGCCATTGTTAACAATTGGTACTGTTCACAAAATACCAAGGATGCAATACCTGAAATTGAAAGTGTCTTATGAAGTGATAAGGAGGAGCATTCCCCTTGGTAAGGAATGAAACGAAGAAGCCAACAGCTAGTCTCCTATAGTCTGCTTGCCAAAAAAAGTTTCTTAATGGTACATAAGTTTTCAATATTTTTAATACCCTTACATCAGTCAAATATTCATCCAAAACCACTGTAACGTTGCTAGGGCAATCTTTCCAGCATTTCTTTCCAGCAAGTGCTACCACAGATTCTGCATAGAACATAAAAACTTTAGCTATCTTGCAAATATGTCCAACTTTATCTCTAAAAATGATGTGAAAATCGATTAGCTTGAATTAGCAAAATATTTTGCTACAGTATGCCTTGAGCAGATTCCATCGCATTTCTAGTACCATTTTCAGTTCATCAGTTTTTCCTTTGTCCGTAAATATGACAACTTTTTATCAGAAAGGATATCATTATAACGCATGAAATGGCACCATTAACAATTTTAAGCCAAAATCCCAGATGTTTTCTCACGTCCACAGTTGTATAACTGGTTCAAATTTTGATCAGTTTAACTGAAAAAGCATCGCGAGGCACTCTACTCTTTGTAATTAAATACATTCTATGAAACAGCTAAAACTTTATCAAACGTTAGCGAGTTTATTTGGCAAACGAAATTAATTAAAGCTCTAATTGAGTTTTATTGACTGTTGACTTATCTGCCTGTGGAAGCAGTTGTGCTTCATTCAACTTTTGCACTCTCGAGCAAATCTTGTTTAAGGTTTAGAATGAATCTGTTTGTATCCTGAACAATTGTGGTTAGAAGAAACATCTGCTTTGGGCAAAGCTGACATGGAAACAGCTTGAAAACACGTTTTGAAAATCCAAGCGCAAAGCAGCTAAGTGATCCTGTAAGCTGAGCGTTAACAGGAAACACTGAATCTTATTGCGATGTCTGAAATCCGAATTCTGTTTTTGTATCTGGTGGTTGAGAAATCTTGGAAATATTGCTGAAATAGTTGCTAAATGCAAGGACCGCCACATTTAAGCTTGAATTTTTGGAAGAATGCTTCGTCAAGGCGATTGTAAAGTTTGCAGAATGGCTAGTCTTGTCCATTGTTTTCAAAATTTTCTTACAGTGCTATTTATCTCCGCCAAAGTGACATCCCATAAAACACAGAAAGGTTTTGTTGCGAGACTTAAACATGTCTAGAAAATGGCAAAGTTTTTAAGTATATTTTTTATCTCAAAGAACTAAAAATACTTTCCAAGTATAATTTCAGGCTTTAGTCACATTTTATGGGTTTTTGTCTGTTCAAATCTTGGGAATACTGTTTTGTAAGAAACTTTTTTATCTTCATTGCCCAATGCTTCATTCTCTAATTTCATTTCAAAAAAAGCCGTGTAAGCATTTTCTGAATCAATTTCCTTGCAATCACTCTTTTTCAAGACTATTGCAAAATTATGCTGAAAATTATTAATTTCATTGAAAAAAATTTCCTTCCAATCCTTTTTTCATTTGTAAAATATTCATTCACTCTAGAAAATTCATCAGCTAAGTAATGAAATATTTCCATTCGCTAACTTTGCCTGAATGTTATTCGTTGATTTTGTTTTCGGATGTCCGTGAATTCTGATTTTAAAAACATCCGAATGCATTTCTATCAGGTTTTAATCCTGATTTTGTGTCAACCATTTTAACGATTTCTTAGAATTGCGTTTTGCAGATGACACTTGATCGATACCTTTAAACAAAATGGCGTTTGCAGCCCTAGCCAAAGTATTTTGTTTACTGTTTGATTCGGGTATAAAAATGGAAAGCATAAATAATACATGAAGTTAGACAGATTAAACATGGTTGACTTTTAGCAGCTGCTTCTTTTCAATAATTAGTTGGTGCCCAATTTTGAAAACTTATGGCAAGAAAATCGTGTTTGGATTCTTACATAGAAGTTGTTGTCTATCGTTTCTAGTTGCATATTTGGATATCAATTTACTTGAATGATTCATTTGCCTCGCTCAAATAGAAAAAACCGCTAGAAATTGAGATTAAATTATCCGGCGGTCAATTTCGATCTTCTCTGCTCAAACTGAACAACATAAAAATGATGTTTTATTTTATTTTTCTTTTGTCTACTTTCTGCAACATTGTGCCTTATGCATTTTTCTATGAGAGATGTTGTAATAAATGAAGCCTCATGATTATAACTGTCTTAAAATCTCTGTCACCTAATTTTTTCTTCTGTCATTGTCTGTTATAATTCTTTTAGTTTAGTTTTAGCTTCTGTTAGGCCTTGAAACGCCAGTTAGGTTTAGCATGCCTTTAAGATATACATGATATTTAAATCAGCTGTCAATAAACATTCTTTTTTTACTTCTTGAACAAAGTCAACAAGTTATAGAATTACCGAAAAATTAGGATTTAATTTTTTTGCTTTTATTCAAACTACGTTGTTTTTCGCAGAGGATTCTTATGGGAATTGTTCTCGCCATTTGTGGAAATTTTCTGATCAGCATTGCAATGAATATTCAGGTAAAAGTCAGCTATCTCTCATACTGTAGTTGTTGCTGTCACTAAATCGCCTTTTTAAATGCACTTAGAATGTTCTGTTTTCTTTTCTTTCATTAACAGACTTTCATAGTACGCATTTTTCGATTTATCAAAGGATTTTTTATGTCTGCAAAGACTGCATTAGAAATATGAAAGACTAAGTGTAGTTTGAAAAATAAAGAAGAATAATAGCGCATTGAAGATGGCAACAACATAGGCTGCTTGAATTCTCTTCTATTCCTTGTCAAACGATTGATTTTTACTCATCTTTTATATTTGCAATTAATCATGTGTAAAATTTTAATCTAAAATTTTCATTTAAGAAGCTTTTCCCTGCTTTCTTAGCATATCTGAATGTCAATTAAGATGTTTGTGTTTCTCAGTTAAGGTGTCAGCATCACACATAAGGTGTCTGCTTCTCTATCTTTTAGTCTCAATTGTAATTAATGAACACCTTCCCCGTCAAAGTAATTGGTAAATTGTCTTTTTTCTTTTTTTCAGAAATACTCCCACAACCAGCAAGACCCAGAGCTCCCTGAAAATGCGTACTTAAAAAGCAAAACTTGGTGGTTTGTAGACAATAATTGCATTTTTGGCAGTCGTTTAATATACAGATATCGTTTTATTAACTTCATCCTCATTGATTTTTCCGGGGCTTGAAAATGTATGCAAAAGCAGTTTGGCGTTGAAAAACGTATACAAAACCTAGCAAGTGCAAGGCTATTCTAAAAATTCTTTATATTCTATCGGGTTTCCAATGCCAAGAACTCCTTGAGGCTTGAATTAGCTTTTATTTTGTAGCTATTTTTATACGCCTACTTTAAATAAATAGATAATAATAATAATGATAATAATCTTTCTTTGTCGACACTCCGAAGTACTATTTCGTATTTGGAATACTTCAAAATTTGTTTTCCTCAACATGAATAAATATCTTTCTTCATTTGATTTACTGCAGCTTTCTTTGCGATCTTTACAAAACCGTTTCATTGTGTTCATAGGCTAGGCATAATACTGATGATATTTGGTGAAATTGGTAACTTCTCTGCGTATGGATTCGCCCCAGCTTCTCTTGTCGCACCCTTAGGAACAACAACTGTTATTGGTAAGAACACACATATACGTTTATGCCGTTTCATTTTCTTCATACCTCTATACCTTTCTTATTCTTAATTGCTTGCAAAAATCATTGCAAAAAAGGATTTCTAGGTCTTTGGAGGCTGCTTCTTTGGGCAGTAGGCTTGATTTTGGAGACATGACGTTTTCAGAACAGCGGTTCATTTAAACCTAGTTAAGATTTCATTTAAAAACTTTTTTGCCGACACAAATATTCGTGTATTTTTATGAAAGATTCAAGAATTCTTGCACGAATTTCTAGAATTCTGCAATCTGCAGTGTTTACTTGATTTGATCTCTTTTTTTTTAGCTTCGAATTATTGATTTACTCCATGCCCGGTTGAAAACTTTAATTAGAATCAAAGAGAAACAACGAAACTAGAAGTTGAGTTTATTGTTTTTCATGGTAATCTTGCTGGGTTTTCACAAAAAAAAGTTTTCCACCTCCAGCAAACGTTTTGTTAAACTTTAACTAATAATTGTCGTAAGAAAAACTTGTTTTCTTTTCAGCCAATGCAGCAATTGCAGTTATGTATCTCAAAGAAACGATTCGGTATCAAGATGTTTTAGGTTTGTTATTTTTACTTTATTTATTTCATATAGACATCACATGTTAATCAGTATTGTATTTTATTGTATATATTATTTAATATTAATTTTTGCATTGATGAAAACACACTTATTAAGACTAACATAAAGCAATTCCAAGGATTGCATAAAACAAAATACTTACTACAAGGAAAGTTTTGATCGAATTCCTGAATTGTCTAGTACTTTGTGCTGTCTTTATTGATTCCGGGAGTGAATTCCAGATTTTAAGCCCTTGAAAACTTAATTATCACCATTAGTTGTTCTTGCTTTTGGAATGTCAAGGGGGTTTTGAGTCGAAGGTTGTGACCTGTTGTTTTGGGTAAAAAATAGTCTTTCATGAAAACAGGATTAAGGTTGTTAAGTGTTTTACAAACTTCGAGCGCTAAAATTCTAACTGATTGGACATGTATGGTAGTTTCTTTTGAGTTAGCAAGTAAATCTTTGTAAGAAGATGAATAGTCAGAATAGGCTAGTCTTAATGCCCTCTCGTTAATTTTCTCTAGCTTGTCCTGACTTCCTTTACCTCATATCATTCATATCAATGGACAATAATTGAAGTGACATAGTATAAACAAATCATTACACTTAATATACACTGCCATTATATCGATTATAACTTTTAATGTATTTCTGTACTTTAGGATTGCGATAATTTTGCCACTTTCGTTTGTATTTTGCAATTAAGATCCTAAACCTTCCTTTTTCTAAACATCATTTTGCCCCTATCTATCATTGCTAGACATAAACCAGACTCTTATGTATTAACGATATCTCTATCAGCTGTATTGAACAGGACAGTTAATTATCATGTATTGACGATATCATATCATGTATTAAAAATATTAATTATTTTCAGGCATATCGCTAGCTATAGTTGGTGGATTCCTTCTCATAAACTTTTCCACAAAGGTATTCATTTCTGTTACTATGGTTAAGGGTTAAGCTAAGATTTCTCGTCTTGTTTTCTTCCTAAAATTTTCTCACTTTAAAAAGTCTTGCTGTGGTATCTGAATCTTGGAAAATTTCGTTCGTTGCCCACTTAATTGAAGGGATTCATTGACTTTTTAGTAAAAGCATTGCTAGTTCTTTTACTAACAATTTTTGTTAGATTAGATTGTTAGATTGTTAGTTTCTTATCGTACGATTTTTGCAGATGCAAAGAGTTAGAACAACCTGTTTTGATTCCTGCCTCTTTCTTTTCCAAAATCAGAATAACCATTTTAACTATCTGCACAACCATAATAAAAGCACCTCAAAAAATAGCCTCGAAAAATGACTGAATATGAGGCTGAATAATTACAAACAAAATTTCGCCAACAACTGAATATGAGGCTGTAACTTCAACTTCCTTGCTAATTATTTGTTTCAGCTAAAAATTTCTAGCAAACAGAGACTTAAGCTAAACATTTTCAAATCATGTATCTAATCTCTGTCATGAACATGCTAGGCAATTTTAAAGGCAAAAAATATTCTTGTTATTCCTGTTTGAAAAATGAGTTCTTCTTGAATGTTTATTCACAATTTCTTTGTCGAAAACCCTTCTCATGCCATTACATCACTATTTGCTCTTCACGCTAAACCGGTCTCTAGTTTTCACAGTGATTTATTCGTTACATGTATGAAATATGAAGTATACTGTCTACAACTTTCTATTGCTAATACGAAGGCATTGTGATCTTGACGATAAAAAAATTCGGTTACACTGACCGGTTAATGGTCAGCTTATCACCCACGACTTGGGCAACTGCTCGTCACATAGAAAAAAAGTTTCAAATGTTGAACAAGTTATCCTCCTCACATAGATTGAAGCATAGCATTTAGGCTTTATCTAATTGAATTTAGATAGTAATTTATTCATGAAAGGAAATTATTTTAGGATGTTTTGATTATGACTCTTTATCGGGTTAAAAGAATAGGAAAAGCTTGAAATATAGACCTGAATTTTGTAGCTTTTACGATGGCTATTTCAAACTATGAATCATTGTGACCTTTTTGATTGAAACCTGACAATTTTAAATGTTTTCTACAGGAAGATACAGTCTTAATGGCGAAGGATATCGTTGTTTACTTGAAGCAGTGGACATTTCTCTTATACTTAGTAAGTAAAATGAATTCTAACGATGATATTCAAAACTGAGTCCCAGCAAATTCTATCTCCTTTTCTTGGGTAGCTTCTTTTCTTGGAAGTCAGACTTTTCAATTGGGATGTAATTTTTATGTAAGCAGATAATTAACGTGATAATTTATGATAATTTATGTAAGCAGAGTATTTTTCTTACCTGGATTTTCTTGTTCCTGCTCCTCTCACATCCGGATGTTAAAATGACTGAAAACCGTATTTTGAAAACCTAAAGGATAGTAATCATTATGTGTAAGAAGTAAGAAGTAAGAACCGCAGGATGGCTGTCCGCCGGATTATTTGAATCTTGCAATGAGTATAAATGTGAAGATAAAGTTCAGGAACAAAGCAAAACGGCAACGAGAATCCAATGTAATTCAAAATAGATTAAATAAACGAATACTAATATGATCAAATGCTGGGAAATACTAATCATTCTTTGAAACGTCTTGTCGCCATTTTTTTGATTTTTCGTGTTTTTTATATTTCTTGTCGATTTATAGCCCATAATGTAATATACGTTGTTTTTCTTGTTAGGCACACGACTCGGGTTTTGTTAAATTTTAACGTGCGATAGTTTCTAAATATCCAAAGGTAACGACTGTACTGATTGTCTATTGGATATCTTGTGGCGGTTTTAATAACACGGAATTGTTTTGCAGTTCTTAGAATTATTGGCATTTGGTGCATTAGTTTACGTTCAAAGGACGAGAGAGGAGGAAGAAATCTTAACTCACTTACTACAAGTTGCTATTCTAGGTTTGTATTCTCTTTGCATCATCGCATTTAAGCTTTATTAAAGCGATAAATAAGTCGGGTGAAAGGGTAATAAGAAGAGCCATTATAATCTCAATTAGGCCACAATGTCATCTCTAGAATGTCAGCATCGATGTTATATGCCTTCTACCTAGAATGGATAGTAATCTACATTCTGAACTCAAATGTACGCTTCAAGCCCGTTTTAATGCAAATCAAATGTGAGGCAAACAGGCAGTTTATTGACATATTCGTTAGAAACACCGCTTGAATCCATTAGTTATGATGTAATAATGAGAAATTAGCTTTTGCCCCTTTTTTGAAGGGACTCGAATTCATCTCTACAAAAACTCGTAGGTTCGTAGGTAGCTGGCAATAATTGTAAATGTCTGCTTTATCAATTCAGGATGCCTTTTATCTTTGACTCGGGAAGTAGATCTTTTTCTAAAATGCCTTTAACGAAAAGCCCGCATCGAGGTTTAGTCACCCATCACAGAGCCACCATTCCCATGACAGAGCCACCATTCCCTGGTGGATGTGAAAGGACGAATTCCCCTTACCCATTAACTAATGCAGTGCTTTCTATTCCAGGATCTTTCACTGTTATATCAGCGAAGGCCGTCTCTTCAATGATGAGCATCACATTCCAGGGCAGCATGCAACTGTCGCATCCGATTTTCTATGTTATGGTCATCGTGATGGTCGTGACTGCCATCGGACAAGTCAGGTATCTTCATCTTTTCTCTTAAGATACCCTTTGTACGCCAAAGCGAAATCTAATTGAATTGCAATTATCTATGTACATGTTTACCATTTGATTGAATTTTTGTATTGATTTGAATTTCTCCTGCTCACATATTCTTTACATTTCATTTCATCACAAAATTTATATAGTCCGACTGGCACCCTTTTTCAGTGCTCCATTCCTCCCCTTGGTTGTATGTAAACCTGTTTTTATTAGAAATACACAATATGCAAATGCCATACTTTCGTCGAGACTGTTAGGGTTAGGGATAGGGTTAAAGTCTGGTACAATTCGTGATACAACTGGACATCATTTTCAGCTATCGTTGCTTATATATATTTATTTCTTATATATATTTATTTAGTAAGAAGGCTTGAGATATCACATTTCTCATGAACGATGCAAATTTATCAAAATTTCCTAAGAAAATCCTTGCTAATACCTACAATGCCTGCCAAAAGTACTTGGAACACCCAGCAATTTACGCTGCATTTGATATTTTTCATTCCATTCATGAAAAAAATTGCTACTTCCGCCCCCTTCCCCCTAAAACAATGTTGATGATTTAGAGAAATATCATAAAAGAAGCGCAAAAGAAAGTGCTTCCTAAAATCCTAGCCCGTTTGATAGTAAACCAACATTGTTCCGTGGAGGAGAAGGGGATGATTGATTTTGACCTTGGAAAATGACGTCAGTGTTCCAAGACTTTTGGCAAGCATTGTAGGGTACTTACATCAAACGTTTTGCGTCATTGATGATCTCCCTCCTGTAAAAACAAATTATATCAGCAAATACTGCAATTTTTCAACTTTATCAGGCACAAATATAACCACATGAAATCGTTGCTTTGATTCCAGATGCCTGAACCGTGCCATGAAAGCTTTCGATGCCACTGTTGTTGTTCCGACCAACTTCGTGCTTTTCACAATCAGCGCTATTATCAGCGGTTTGTGCATCTGTTCATCTTCGTTTTCTTCTTTTATCAGAATTTGCATGTGAAGATTGCTTCAATAAAACCTGTATGTATTTATAATTACTCCCTTTCGAAGTCTACCGCTTGTTTTATCAGAAACACACTAGATAAGAAGGAAGACAGGCATCGATGATAAGAAGGCAGGTTTTAATAAACATTCTACGATAAGCAAGTCTTTAGTACTGCAATAATTGAAATGGCACGAAAAGCGAACACATTTTACGGATGTACTTTTCGACCGACACTCCTCAGAATAGTGTCCTCAGAGTTCTAAAGAGATTGTCGGACGGAAAGTACTTTAGTATGCTATGATTCTGCTTTTCTTTGCCATTTGGTATTGGAATATGAATTGATACTAGAATTTCTTATAAAGCTGTAGCAATTATTGGGTACTGTAGGTATAATTTGATTGCAGTGTGATAAAACAATAGAGATGAAAGATTTCCTTCCTTTAAAGGAACCTTACAGTGACTCAATAGGCAGTTTGTTCAGTTCAGGAATTACGGCCTATTCTAATGACGCAATTAAAAATATTCGCATCTTTGATTCAGATTTTTCAAAAAAAATGTAGATTATGAACTGTTTTCTTAGGAATATCCATGCGAGCTGCCACAAAAAACCTTAACTGTACTACCCAGAATTTAGAAATATTTCTTCTAATTATCCTTGTCATATATCTTATTCTTTTTTCAGGTATTGTCTTCTACCGAGAATTCTACGGTCTTCAGTTTATTGAGATATTTATGTTTCTGTTCGGGTGAGTCATCGCTTCCATCTAATTTTTAGATTTTGTTTGCTTTTTTTGATTCGTTAACGTGATGTTATTTTGATTTTCGCAAGACAGTTTTTGAAAAACAGCCTTGTAGCAGCTGTTCTTCAAGGTTTTTTCAACTACCATTCTTTTGCATATTGCATTATTTTGCTCATGGGTAGTTTTCCAGAGGTTTGAACTTCTGTAAAACCTTCTAGGACTACCCCTAAAAACAATTTTGATGAAAGTCATTAGGGTTGCAGTGTGAGAGGCAGCTCAATAACTAAGCCTCTGCCTCTCATCCGAGCAGTCTAAGTTTATTTCGTGTTGCAGTAGTTTTCGTATTTCAAATTTCGTCGCTATAAAAAGATGATTTTTCTATGGAAATATATTTTTAAATTCCGATAAGCCAGGACTCATGAATTGTTCGTTTCCTTCTCAGCTGCATGCTTTCCTTCCTTGGAGTGTACCTAATCACTGGTGACCGGAAAGAAGAAAAATCTGAAAGCCCTTTAGTCGAAAGAAATGAGTTATTCGCAGGTATATCCAATATTGCTTCTCTAGATCTTTGTTCCACCTGAAGTGCTAGGGTTATTTACAAGTTTCATGTATCTCAATTTTCATAGTTCACAGCGATCATTCTATTGACCTTGGAAGTCTCTATACGAAGTTCTTTAGTGACGAGGGCCGTAGGTTTATTTTCTCTTGAATTCAACAAGTGTTTACATTATTTTGATGCTGCTGTCATTAACGATCTTTTTGTCCTAATGCTTTTTGTACTTTTGTCTGTATTTGGATTCATGGGAATCTTCTCTTAACTCATCTAAAGCAGTAACTCATCACGTTTAAAACATTCATAAACAAGGGCAGACACTTGGCTGAAAGTCTGATTTTCAACTTCTGTTGATGGATATTTCTATAGGCCAGAATATCTTTGCATCCCAAATGGGTCTAAAATAACTTTTAATAAAGACGCCGGAATGGCTAAAATCCATGGGCCTAAAATAACCTTGATAATGACACTGAAAAGGGCTAAAATCTCGTTGCCATTTCAAACCAGACGTCGAAATTGATTTGTAACCTCCTATGAAACATTCCCGAAACTGAAAATGCTTAAACAGAAGAATGTAACTTGAAATGAATTGAGCTAGCATTACTGGGACTGACATTGCAAATACGACAAGCACTTTTGAAAACAAATGATTGACAAAACCTTACAAAGGTTTTTCATAATATGCAAGAAACGTGCAATTTTCGCTGTGAATCTGTAAGTGACTATTGCCAGCATTAATATACCTTTCAGCCTATCTACCCGTTCTCTCATTTTACGCTGCAAGCTTCGTGCAGCCAAATGATGGAAATTTGTCAGTGACTGCAGGTTTTGACCAAGCCACGACAGAACAGAGTGCGAGTTGGTATCTTGATTAGCGAGCATCTCGGCTGCCCCCTGGTCAGCGGCTTCTTACTCATTTCGCATTGCATTAATGCGTAGTCTTCCAAAGGACCCGGACCATATTCAAGGCCTTTTTAGCCTCTATTGGTCACAGGACCAAAATGGGAGGGCTTTTCATTGTTTTTTAATTGGTTCTTACGGTTTTGATATGTTTTGAACCCTTTTGAATGCGTTTTAAACACTTAAATTTTTTTCAAACCTCTTGAATGTATTTTAAACATTTTAATTTTAGTTTAACCCTTTTGAATTTGTTTTAACCATTTTAATTGTTTTCAAACCCTTGAATATGTTTTACACACTTTGATTTGTTTAAAGGCACTATATCGCGACGCATTTCGCCGCCCATTTAATCTCCCATTGGTTGGACTATACAATAGACCTATTGTTACGTATCCAATCGGCTAATTCTCAATGTTTTCTCATCATAAACGCGCTGCAAAGCCAATTTGACCTCTGAACGGTTGACTGACTGGACATAGTGCCTTTGACGCTTCTGAATGTGTTTTAAACACTTTGATTAATTTTAAACCCATTTGAATATGTTTTAAACACTTTAATTGGCTTCAAATCTCTTGAATGTGTTTTAAACATTTTGATTTTGGTTTAACCCTTTTGAATGTGTTTTAAACATTTTGATTTTGGTTTAACCTTTTTGAATTTGTTTTAAACACTTTAATTTGTTTCCCATCTTTCGCATCTGCTTTTAACATTTTGAATGTATTTTTAATAGTTTAAGTGTATAAACATGGTGCAATTACCCGGTTCGGTGGAAAGTTCTTTTAGAGTCGAATCGAAAACGAATCATAGATATTGGAACACACTTAGGATAGCAATGAATGGAGAAATAAATACTTAAAAGATTTTTAGATGATAATTGAACATAGGATATGTTCTAATTAATTAGCGTAAAAGTTATTGACTTCCTTTATGGGTTGGTCAGCTATATGATCCGACTTCGCAAAAGTCCTTTCGCATCCGGTGCACGACTATTGACTTGAATAAGGCTGGTAAATCAAACAGGCAATGAAAATCAGTCCGACTCAGTGAAAGTGTGAGAAAAAACGGGCTATGACTATTGACTTGCATAAGATAGGGAAATCAAACTTGTTATCAAGATCAGTCCGACTTAGCAAAAGTCATACGCATCCGGGGTACGACTGTTGACTTGAATAAAGCTTGTAAATCAAACAGGCAATGAAAATCAGTCCGACTCAGTAAAAGTGTGAGAAAAAACGGGCTATGACTATTGACTTGCATAAGATAGGGAAATCAAACTTGTTATCAAGATCAGTCCGACTTAGCAAAAGTCATACGCATCCGGGGTACGACTGTTGACTTGAATAAAGCTTGTAAATCAAACAGGCAATGAAAATCAGTCCGACTCAGTGAAAGTGTGAGAAAAAACGGGCTATGACTATTGACTTGCATAAGATAGGGAAATCAAACTTGTTATCAAGATCAGTCCGACTTAGTGAAAGTCTGAGAAAGTCCGGGGTAGGACGACTTTACTGTATTCAACTTTACTTACTTTTGAACAATGTTTTTTACAAGTCAATTTGTATTTCAAAATTTTACAAAGAACTTTCCAAAATTTAGATTTAGCAAATCTTGAGGTTGTATCAGGTTGGAGGCAATATTTATCTCAATATTCATTCAATACTTTATATATCAATTAATTGATGTTTAATAATGGTATTTTATAATATTTTCAATAATGTTTTTATGCGTGTATATAGATTTTAGATCAACGAATATTTTGATCTTATTGGATGAGAAATTTTATAAATGAAAATATTGATAGTTACCTTTTAAAAGAAAGAGTAAAGACAAAAGTGAATTTTTTTTTTCTTTTCTAAAATGAGAGAAGTGACGTGGAAGCGAGTCATGCAACCTTATCATTTTTTTAACGACAATAAAGCTAATTTTTCCAATATATTCCGGCCCTAAATTTATCATTAATTCTATGTTTATTTTAATCAATTATCTGATGTCTCTTTTAGATAATGAAGAAAACTGAGCGATTGGTAAACCAACAGTAAATTAATATGTAAATGAAATAAGTAGTATGGAATTGAAACAATGATGCCAATTTGCTGTTCCATTTTTGTAAATAAACAAGCGTATGTTATTAGGCATAAATAAAGAACTTTATTAATTTTGCCTAAATATTTAAAATATATAAATTTCAATAGTAAATAAGTCATAATTTGCTATATCAAAGTGACAATCTAATTTTTTTTTAGTTTTAGTTTAGTCACTTCAATAGTAATTTTTCGACAATTTTCAACGCCAAACATAAATATCTAAATTTTAGTCAATTTATTTTAGATTACGAAAGTATGATCATATTCATATTTGATATTGTCTAATTTTGTTAACGTTGATATCACTTATGTTTTTATTTCAATTTCAAATTTAGTTAAAGCATCCACCCGCTACCCGTAATGCCCTGTGGAAGTGACAAGCGCTTTACAGATTTCTTACGAATTCAGTGATTGCAATGCCTCATCTAAAAACCGATGTTTAGAGCCAGTATGTGATCTCAAAAAGTTGCCAGATTGCCTAAATTATATAAGGTAATTCTAAATGTCCGTTCTTAACTTTATTTTTGCATGTTCTTAACTCCAATTTCATCCCAGCATTTGCAAAAGACGATTCAATTGCTTGGTGTTACAACCGTCCTTTTTCTCTCGTTCTGCTTCAGGAACCTGTTGAAAACCAAAGCTTGAGCCCTACGAAAACCATCGCTTCTGATCTGTCTTACGTTTCTTTAGAAATTTTTCGTCTTTGCAAAGGCGCACATCACGCCGGTCTCCTAATGTAGGCCTTAAAGCAATCTACCCTTCTTTCGTTGGCACCAAAGGACAACTCGCCTCGTTTAATTTCCTGTTCTTATTCCACAAGGCTTTTTTGTTGCTGCAACCGAATTTAGTGACAGCGTAATTGTGACAAATTTTACTAAATCTTAAACAAATGAAACCTGACCTTAAAGTTTTCTAAAGATGATTTTAAATTTAAAGCGGATTTGTCTTATTTTCTAACTATTTAAAATAACCTTAGTAATCAATTTTTCCGCACCAGTCACATAATTTGCCAATGATTGATTTAAAAATTCGTGAAAATATATATCTAGAAATGATTTTTCTAAATTTCAGCTGTGCTGTAAATCGATGCCATATGGTGTCGCTGAATTAGTTAAATATGTATAGTAAAAGTAATATATATATATCTATGTGTTATAAGTATGAATATATCTCTGTGTTGTAAACTATGCCTCGTGTTTAAAAACCTGAAAATCTTCGATGATAAAACACGATGAAACGTATTTGAAAGTGGGAATAATTAAGGAATCACATCATGGGAGTGACATCAAAATAATAAGGGAATATAATTTCAACACAGTGAAACAGCCGCAAAAAAGGCAGTTGGTCTACTGTGGAGGATGAGTTGTGTTGTGAACACAAACATAACAATTGAGTAACCAGAGAGTTCAGGATGTAAACAAATACATGTGAGGCTGTAAATAATCTGCGTAATGGAATTTACTTTATTGGGGGGGGGCGGGGTGCAGTGTAGAAAATCGGGGGATAGTGTAATCACTTTTCAACATTGAATTTTCGAATCATTTGCTTTTTTCCGACTAAAATTTAAAAATTATTGCAAAACAATTTAAATCCAGTTGTTAAGGGTAAAAACTCAATTTTATAAAAACTATGCCAACAACTAGGAAAAACATTACTTTTCTTAACGGTAGGAGGGAATTAAAAACATCTGGGAAAAAACTTTTCGGGTTTAGAGAAATCGGGGAGAAAATAAGTCCGACTTAACGGGATACAACTGTAGTAACAACAAGGCATAGTTTGGTCGTGGACCTTAAACCATTTGTTTTCTTTTCCTCGCGGTCGCTCACAGTATGTCCGACAATTCCTCTAGACAGTGACTGGATGGCCATAATATTCATGCATCGTTGATTCAAATAACCAATCAGAATGAAAAACCACCACTGTGTACTCTCTCTAAACGAGTTGCTATGAATTTTGTTTTTGTGTCAAACTGGTCAAACGTCTTAGTCAGTTTCGATGATATAGAGATTAATCATTTTGATCGTGTTCACCCATGTTTACTCAATGTGTTAACTGAAGACCTTCTGGAGGTGAGGCTTCCAAGATAGAATTAGACAATCATAGAGGGGACAAACTGTCGTTCATTACAGCTCGCAGTGCATTAAAAAAACTTTCAAGTTAGATAGTTATGTCTAAAAAATATTCCTCTCTTTGATAAAAAAAGAGTTTTTGCATGAACAATTTTTCAAGTTTCACCTGAGAAAATCTTTTCAGCAAGCAAATAAGATAAGGTTGAATAAAATTTGTTTCCCTTTCTTGCCTTTAGTATTTCATGACACTTTCATGACGTTGACCATAAGTCGTATTTATATCTCAGCATATCGACTGGTAAAAATAAACTGAAAATATGTGAATGGTCTTGAGGATAGAAAAATATCATGCAACGTTCTTATGTACTATAACATGTAAAATTGTAAAATAACAATATTACATAACTTTGTAGACAGGGCCCACCGAGAGGTGGGAACAAGGGGGGGCTGTTTCTAAGCCCGTAAGCTACGAGGGGCCCGCTTTTAAATAAACTTTGGCTTTTTAAAAATATCACTCTTAATAAAAAAGTTGTGCTTGAAAAGTTTAGCAATGCTTTTTAAACATAAATTGAAAGTAAATATGGAAAATTCTATGCATTTAAAATCTATTTGTAGATCATTATAAGTGTTGAATTATTGCTTGATATTTCTTAACGAATTAAATTTTTCAGTTGAGGAAGTTACTCAGAACAAGTTTAATTGCTAGGAGGATAAAATCGTAACTGTGACATGTTAGTGCGAATGTCAGTTCAAAAATTTTTACTAAATGTCTGTATCATGTTAACTTTTATCTAATAAAATCTTTGAGATGCGGATTACGATGTATCGGAAATCTTTGATCAATATTTTCTTCCAAGGAAAAGATTTCGTCAAAATCGATCGACCATATTTCAAAACTGTTTCTGTGTTTTGGCAACCAGTGCATGCATAACAGTTTCTTATATGTGGATCTTTTAGCGTTGTCATTTTTATGATTTTGATTTCAAATCTGAAGTTGGATTTTGACAAAGTTCTCAGATAGCGAGATGCAAAATCTATGACGTCATATGGGAACCACGAAGTGTCCACTCCATACCATTTACCCTTCAATAAAGATGTTATAATTAAATGAGCACTTCTTTGTCCATTAAAGGGGATAGTTGAAGAGCAATTGCATGAGAAAACAAAGCGTAATATTTTGCAATTAAGCTGGTTCATGGTCATTCTTTGTATCTCAGCACGCTCTCGGACTCCCAGGAAACAATTATTTCCATGCTACTGAATTTCTCACTTTGAAACTTTCTCTCAAGAATAGATTCTGTGCTTTCACTTTCCTTATTATGTGGGAATCCCCATTCTGCTTGTTTGATCGGGATCTCCTGTAGCCTGAGAAATGTATGGAATGAGCTGACCACATTAATCTCTGTAACCATATTTCTGACTGACACGAAGCAAATATTCATTAAGTTCTACTCCAAAAAATGTATTGCGAGGATTTGATCTTTTGAAATTATCTTACAAGAGAAGGTTTCTGTGATGCATTTGATACCATCAAACTGGTCTGACTTTTATACACAGTTTTATGATATTGTACCGCCTGACAAATTTTTGACAATTCCAGTTGCTTGCGATTCGAGTGGAGCAGTATTTTCCCATAGGTAGCTGAAATGAAGGTTGTCCATGGCATAATGTTAGTTGTCCTGCAACTTATGAGCATTTTGCTTGTCAATCGATGCCATGCAAATGAAGCAGAGCCTTGCAGTGATGCCAAATGCAAGTTGCCAGACTGCTGGTGCAGCGGTACCGCCATTCCAGGTGGCCTAGATGTCAAAGAAGTGCCACAGATGGTCACTATTTCATTTGACGATTCTGTGAATGTTGGAAATTTCAAATATTATCAATTGTTGTTTAACAATGGTGCAACGTCTAGGAGAAACCATAACGGTAAGGTTCACTAACTTTGATTTTTTGCCACTCCATCGACATTTTGAGTTCCATCCCGGAAGTGTCGGCCTTTCTCCAAGAACTCGGTTTACGATAACGAATCCCCGCTACATCAGTGTCCAGTTGTTGAAATTCAGGCGATATGCACCAGTCAAGCCTCGCATTTAAAGTCATTATGAAAGCTTGCGATTCAAGGTTTGGTCAAATTCGGCTTTGGCACCAATATTTCAAGTTAAATACAAGTTTATTTTATTACAGGAACCAGATAACGTTTGTCTGATATCGAAACTCTTGTTTTTCTGGATATTTTGAGTCTCGGGTGTCAAGAATAGTTTGAAGCTTGCGTATTACTGAATTTCTTAAAATACTCCGCTAGCAAAATTTCTTAAATAAGTTTTTACCTTCAAATGGCCACTAACTTTTTCGACATGAAGCAGTAATTTAGAAGTCCGTTCGTAAATGTGGAAATCCTGCTTCTAATTTCAGATCGTGGCTCAAAAATTTGCCGGATAACATTCAAAAGAAGCCGTTTATTGAATTGCTCGATTCACCTGTGCGATTTACTCACTGCATCTTTTAAAATGATTTATATGAAAGTTGAAAATGCTTTTATTTGGGAAAAATACAGATATTGTATTAGAAACGCCACGAATATAACTCATTGTTTCTTGTTCACATTAGCAGAGACAGATAACCATCCTTTGGGGACGGATTTAGTAGGGGTGTATGGGGTGCAATACCCCCCCTCCCCCCAATATTTCTGTGTCTTCGGTAAATTTTGCTTCCTTTCGGCAAAAATCATTTTTTGATAGTCAGTAGTGACAAAGCAACTACTGACTACTAGTAACAAAGCCAAAATTTTGCCTGATCTTACCGAATTTTGAAAATGGGCTTTTTGGCCTTTTAAGCAGTGACCTTAAGGGTGTGGAACGAAAATCCAATTAGTGTCTAACAGCCCGTAATCATTTTTGCGTAAATCCGTCGCTGCCATCCTTCGTTTAACGGTTTATTGCGTAGCTACGAAGAGTATGACAGGAAAAAGAAAGAGTCCCAGTAGAGACCCTTGCTGTGCGCCATAAGAATTTTCACTTTTCAGCTCGGCTGCTTATTTTCGACTATATTGAAAATTAAGAATTCCTCTCAAATCGAAACCTCACCCCTTCTGATGGTATCTTTACCTAAGTAATTGATACTTCGAACAATATTTTAGGCTGCAACATCACTGCAACCTTTTTCGTCCGCCATGAGTACACCAACTACCAGATGGTTCAACAGTTGCGGCATTGGCGACACGAAATTGCGGACCATACAATAACCCATCGAACACCGACAACATGGTGGAAGAATGCTTCGTATGACGAATGGAGAAATGAGATCGCAGGGCAACAAGAAGTGCTACGCAAGTTTGGAAATATCGATGCTGACAGTATCAAGGGTTTTCGGGCACCGTATTTGCAAGTTGGAGGCAACAACCAGTTCCGAGCTTTATACAGCAGTAAATTTCTATACGATTGCTCAATGCCCACCATGCAGACAGAATTTTGGCCATACACGCTCGACTACAAGACAACACAAGAGTGCACTGTGAAACCATGTCCAACAGGTTTGTGCCAACAATTTCTTGTTTGCTGCTTGGCCACCACAGGAGGGTTGTTGGATTTTTCACCCCTTTTCAGCTGTAATAAAATGCTGTCATTTCAGTGTATAAGCCACATGTTGCCAGACTCATTCGCCGAAGCATCAGTACCATCCTCACTTATATGCATCCAGTTTTTAATTAAGCAATTCATTTAGATAAAAAGATAGAAGGTAAGCAACATTAGCCAGGTCTACAGTTGAAAACTAACGAGAAGTTACAGATGCTAGAAAAGTAGCCAAATCCTTTCTTTGGGGCCAGCAATGGTCAAAATATGACCAATAGATGTAAAGTTTAAACATGCGAAGATGTTCAATCAGTTATGTCGAGTCGTATCAAATATTTAAGGATGTTATGAGAATTCTATTTCGTAAAGTTTAATCCTTCTGCAGATATTAAGATATGAGCAGTTTAATATTTGGCTGGATAAATGTAAAATGGAAAATCTTTACTGCCGAATTTCCACGCAGATTCTTTTCCTGGCTTATGGGAAATCCCCATGACAGACTACACAGATAAGACTGGAACCAAGTGTGCAATGGTGGATGAGTGCACAGTCAATGATGACGTCACTGACATTTACGATCTTTTGATGACAAATTTCTTGAGCCACTACAAAAAGAACAGATCTCCGTTCCCGATATTCATCCATGCATCCTGGCTGAGCAGTCATTCATTTACTACAGAAGGTAAGCAATCTTGGCTGCTTTGCTATTCAACTGATCTATATTTAAATTTCTTCGAACTGGCCTCTCTTTTCCAATGAGCACCATACTACGAATGACGTCTCTCCAGTTGTACGACTTTTGTTATGGGTTTGCTAAAGACAATAAGCTATTGGCGTCACTGGGTCAGAATAGGCTGTTCCCCCCACTCTTTGTGAAGACCTGGAAACTTTTCTCTCTCCGGATAGACGTTCCAGAGATCAAACCCATAGAGCCTTGAATATTTACTAACTATAACATTTAACTATAGCATTTATACCTCCCTCACAGTTCCACGGATCGCACTTAGGCTACATTCACACTGCTCCGTATTCGTTTCGCTCCGTTTTCGTTAATGAAAACGCCGTCTGTTCACATTTATCCGTTTTCAAATGAGAACAATTTGAATACGGTAAGTGTTCACACAACAAAAACGCTGTTGGTGGCCTCATTATATCTGTTACATAACCGAATATTCCAATAATTTTTCAAATAACATAAAAAGTTAAGTTGTTAAATAACAATGAAGATTCTAAGTGATTTTCAACTTTGAAAAAGCATTAATTTTAGAAATAAAATCTCGAAGATCAAAATGTATGCTTACGTTATCTAAGAGCTGTTTTTATAACTTTTATTTATCGTTTTACCCAATAATTCAATTTTCTGTATCTCTTCCTGATACATTTGCCTGTCATCAAGTGACCCCAAATAAGTAAAATTTTAGGCACTTTTTTATTGCTTCTTTCTTCAACCAAATCATAAAGAAGGCCAATTCCGCATAAGATTTTAAGTTTTATTTCTATAAAACAGTATTCTCGTTCTTCCCTTTGCCTTAAAGTTGACCTGTTTCAATATAAATGTTGTGAGAGCTGAGTCTAATTTTGCAGAAGAGACTTTTAGTTTTGAAATCTGAGATAACATCAAGATTTCCCTCAAACTGAAGTCGTTATGTGTAATTCATATTCTCCCTTATCCCTGTAAACCGAATTCCTGCTCCTTTTCCCACAGCCTTGGGAAAATTTCTCGATGCAATCTTGCAAATGAAAGATGTCTACATTGTGACGTTGAGCCAGGTAATTCAATGGATGAAAAACCCCACGCCACTCAGCGAGATAAACAAATTTGAACCTTGGCAGTGCAGCACTGCTCCTCCGCCGCCTGCTTGCTCCGTTGCTACATCATGTGAGTACACCATCCCACCGTGGGGGGAGCATGTATACCTGAGATCATGCGAATCGCCTTGCCCCAAGAATTACCCATGGTACGGCAATCCAGATGGGAACTGAGGATATCCTGCACCCAAATTGCTTCCAGAGTCTTATGATGCTTATGATGAATCTTGTGCTGTTATCCAAAAAATCCTCGACGATTTCAATGGCCACAGATGGCAAGGCATGAACGCTTAGAAAATAAATGACCAACAAGATTGTGCAAATCTTTCGAAACTTTGGAGTTTGAAATCCAGTGTTACTGGCTTATATTAATCCTACGTTCTTTTCTAATGGGTTTTAATTGAATATCAAATGTTCTTCTTCGTTTTTTTCATCGTTTACTCATACATTTTTCGTCGCGACAGGTTTATTCTTAGTTTCTTTTTATATGGTGAGAGCGAAGACTCGCCTCTTGACCTCTGTTGAAATCATTCTTGGCGAACGCCAGACGACCTTTCTTAGCCTAGACTATTAGTAAGACCAAAGGTGTCCATATCCTATCAAGGCATAGAAAATAGTTGAAGTTTTGAGTCAACTATTTACCCTATTTTAGGGCAAATCCTCGTACACAAAAATAGTTTTAAATGACCTCTTGGCTTGATTTGTATCACACTATTCAATTGTCTATATTTTCGAAGAGATGAGCAAGTTTTTTCGATTAAATGAATCATTAGCCTATAAAGAAACGTTTCCTGACAGCTCAAGCTTGCTGCTATGTCTCAACAACCAAAGTGAAATGGAAACTTCCTTTGTCTGTTGAAGAATTTACTGTAACAGGGCGTCTTTCTATTTGATTTGTAAGCCTTCATGGCTGATACCCGAGTTGCAAACGGTCATTGCACCTTTGAACTGCACGATCTCGTTTCCAGAAGAACAGATTACGTCGTGTTATAACTTTGCTCGTGACTTTGAAGCAGAGGCCCGTTTGACAAATTCTTCTTATGAAGAGTAATCCTTTCGTATGGCTTCAAAAATGTTATTCCTGATTAAAAACTTTACAGAACGTGCCCTTCCATAGTACAGATTTGGCCCCGATCTGAGGGGGCAGCATAAAAAGTGTTAGGGGGCCTACCGGGAATTTTCCCGAGTATCGGTGGGCCGCCACGCCCCTGATAGCCCTTGCCTTTCAGCTCCCTGGGCGATGATCTCCCGAAGTGCCCCAGGGATCCTTTTTTGTGCCTATCTTTTGCGTTCCTTTTCAATTTTTTGCGTCACAGCCTTATCAATGAGTGAAACCTGTATGTTCTACCAAAATAAAGCTGAATATGGTGTTGTATTATTGTTAACCTGAACTTTACAGCGTATTAGAATTTTTTAATTAAGATATGTTGTGAAAATTGATTCACCACCATTTGCAAATTCATAGTGACTTGATTCTTCGATAATTCTTAATTTCATTAGGGCTGATAGGGGGCTCATTGGAAAGGGTGTTCCGTTCATTTCGACATCGTTGGCTGCCTCCTTATTCAAGCCTGTCGGAACCGCCCCTCCCTCAATAATTGCCAAACAGTAGTATGTTTCCTTTATAACAGTATACTAAATGAGATGAGAAGGAAAACCATGGGCAGCCCCTCAAATATGAATTTCGTTCCTACGGCACTTGTGCTGTTACTGTTTTAAAAAAAGCTGCTTGCTGGTAAGATAACGAAGCTTCAACGCTGAGAAAGTAGAACAATGATCCACCCGCAAGCAATCTTTTGTTTACACTTTTTATTTAACATTTAACTTTGAAAAATCGCTTGTACACGCTGTTTTGTGGATTTCCAGAATATTTTTGTTCCGTGTCATGATTCAGACGGAGGCCTTCTTCTTTCGTTGCGGAAAACCGCAAGACTATCGAGGAATTAGTTTTTGTATAAAATTATTGTGTACAAATCCTATCAGCAAATTATTGGTTTATCACAAGATGCAGACAATTAGTTCTGATGGCTAAACCTTCCGCTTCATATTCTTATTTTATTGTCGAAGTTTGTAGTCGTCTGGTTGATTTCTCTCAACGTAAGAAACTTGAAATGGAAAGTTGTATTGATTTAATAGCCTAAAATAATCTGATTTCACGAAACTTGGTTTTAGATTGAAAGATGGAAATATTTCTGATTAAAACATTCTCTCGTCATCTGATAACGTTGTCATCGTGTAAGCGCTTTCTTTTTTGGCTTAAAAACATACTTCTTTCTGTCGATAAGAAAAAACGAATTCTGGAATTATCCAGGGGCCAGGAAAATGGGGAGGGGGGTATCATTCATGTACCGCTTGCACTCTTAACTTCTTTTATGTGAGAGAAGAGGAAAAATGCACGTAGGGAATACCTTTCTTTTCTGTCTACGATTTTCTGGTCTGGGACGTAACTTTGTCAGAGCCACTTCAGTTTGAAATGTGTCATCTCAAAGCCCAAAAAACTCGAAAGGGGTAATAAAACTTAACTCCGGCAGGTTTTAAGGGAGTTACAAAATCTGAGTCCATCAGTTGGGAAAAGTATCCCTTAAATGGCCAAAACTACAGTAGGTGTCTTATTGACATGGCATAGAAGTATTACGTTTTAACATCGAATATGATATTTTGCGAATCCTACTTCGTTGTTCATCACAGTACTTAGTGCGTGTACTAAGGTCGAATAGAAAAACCACTATCAAAAGGGATTAATGCTACATTTGATGCTGCCACAAAAAATAATGGTATAAATGAGGTGTATTGACTGCTCCTGAAGCAGTGTGTTATGTGCTTATAGATTATCAGATTATAACGGTCTGTCTCTAAAAAATTTTGAACGCTTTAGTTAAAAGGATCTGGTTTTACAATATTATATTAGACAATAGGAGTGAATAAAAAACTTTTGCCATCCATAGCACAGTTGCCTCGCGTTGTGTCCTCTTTCTACTCAAGGTCTACTTTTAACAGTACTTTGAGCATTTTTCTTCGAAATGTCTACTCACAACGAGCCAACAGTATTCATCGCAAATTATTGACCTAGCTTGAAAGGGTTTTCTCGAGTTATTTGCAATAAACACCCGTATTATTCAAACTCTTTTTCTCTTTAGTAATCCCACACCTGTCACCAATTTGAGGCTACAATTTTTTCTCTGTGAAAATGCAGAAATGACCACAGAACACTTCTATGTCCTCTATCTTGTTCTACTCAATTAAATTGCTTTGTTGGGCTGCGTTATTTCAAGTAGGTTCACATGGAGTGGCAGAGCAATGATTGTCATTCGTGCTGTCTATAGCAAACAAGGTCCTTCGTCTTTTCACGTGAAGTTTTAGCATACTTTCAGTATTGACCGATTTTTCAAAGCAAACTGGATTAATTAGGCCGAGCCAATCACAAACTGTCATCATATCTTTGAATGTCATTTTCAACGCACACCTTTTGCATTGAAACCATTTCTATTTACATTGACTACGAAATAGCCTTTTGACTAAATATATTCTAGTTGTGTCAATATTGTTTTATCCTTTTAAGGCCTGTTTGGTTTAGACATCAAGATTCCTTCGCGAAAGTGGGTTTTCTTCACTTATCCTTTGTACAAAAAGATTGCAATGACGGCGTCTTTCTCTTTCTTGGAACGCATTTTTATAAAGGAATTTCTTTCAAAGAATAACAATGTCCACAAGGACGGCTTATAACTTATACACGTCCAATATCACCTGCTTTTCTTTTCAATGACTTTCCAAGGGAATTTACATGATTGAAGTCTAAAGATATAACTTACATCAAGCCAGCTTATAACAACCTTAAAGATTGAACACATGCGTTTAATTTCAATGTATTTGGGTAGTGATCACCACCTAAAACCATATAGTCTTTAGTTAGAAATTCTAAGTACATCAACTGCTGAGGTAACCAAACTAAATCGGTTCAAAGACACTGGACGACAGGCACATTTTCTCGGCACATACAATATAACCGATTTCTTTTGCCCTAAGATAAATGGTTGGCATTTTCTTTGGAAGAATTCCACACAAACCCTTGTTTGTTTTTGCCATTTTTATGATTTGTTAGTTTAAATCGTTTGGACATTGAAGATTCGGACAGGACCCCCCTCCGCCGTCGTTTCCCAAACTTGTTCGTTGCACAGAATACGTCTATTCTCTGTCCGTTGTGTAAATTCTATTCTACTGTTCCTGTGGTCCGTTCTTGTTGCCAGAAACTTTTTGTCTCGGTGCTTCCTGGTCCACTTATATCGTGTTTGTCTAGCGAAAACACCGCTAGTATGGTGTAGTTCTGATCCTGACAGACTGTGAAAAACATTGCATAACAATTTCCCTCTCTTGGTAACAATTGCAGCCATTGTTGTGTTCCGTCATCCGTGAAGGCCATGGCATTTTAATCTCGCTGAAAAATGAAATGCAACTGTGATTAAAGAGGCGTTTAACCAAGTTGAGAGAAGCATGGAGATTTGCGAGGAAATTAGTTATTTTGCACAGCTGCACTGATGGGAAACAGAATATCAAGATGCTACCCGTCGCGGTGCAGGAAATATAGGGACGACAAAACCCTTGGTGGTGAGCAATTATCACCAACCAATACTGCCAGTGATCATCCACTTTTAGGCCCAGAAATTAGTAGCGAAGTAGGCCAACCAGCAAATAAAGATGACAATGAACAAACGAATGATTTGGCCCCAGTCGAGCCGGTAGCCCCACCAAAATTGGTTTATGTGGGGATTTACGATTTCAATGGGAAGAACGATGGGGACCTGAGTTTTACAAAAGGAGAAGAAATCGAGATTTTGAACAGCGCGGAAGGGGGTTGGTGGTATGGTTTGTCTCTCAAGAGCCGGGCCGTCGGCTACGTTCCTAGCAATTACATCGAGCCGGTTAATTCATTAAAATCGCAAGAGTAAGTATTCACTTAACTGTGTTTTAATTTCTGTGAAGAAGGGAAAGTCGAAACACCGGTTGTTATGAATTTTCGATACATCAACAAGTCTGTCTGTGTTTGTTTTCATGACTTTTTTAAATTCAAAACAATAGAAATATACAACTTGTAGCTCGATGCTATCGACCTTCTTTCATAAATCAGCTTTGTAGCTAGATACTTTTCTTATCAACGATGGGAAGGAAAATCATATTGTATATTAAATCAAGTCAAATTCATTCCAAAATTGCCAATTTCAAGGGTTCTCCGAATTTCGTTTTGCTGATCACTTGCATGAGCTCAGCAAATATTCCATGATTTTTATAATAGTTAAACAGATTCAAAAGTATTTTATGATACACATAAGGACCTGCAAAATCAGAACCAGTGGTCAAAAATGGCACTTGCTAGGCAACAGGTCGACAACACGTGCAACCAAACCCACCTCGTTTTATTTATTCAAGCCGCCATAGTACGATGTGGTCACGGGTAGTGATCATTTGATAAACTTTAAATTTCATATGAAAATTTCTCATTTCAAAAGATTAAGAGGATGCTCATATAACAACTAAAAACATTCATTAACTCTTTGTACTGTACTCTGAGATAGTAATTGTTTTGTTTTTGTTTGGTAGGCAAGACTGGAGTTCTGTGAAACATTTTGTAGAGGCAAAACTTACCATAGAGTAAATTTTAAAAATACCATTAATAATGACAATCAAGACCAAAATGAAATTAATTTTTTCTTAACTTAGCAACAATAGAATGGCAGAGTGATAATATCAAAAAAGATAATTAAACGTTTCCTTTTTTTACCATAACAGTGACATAACAGTGATAAAACAGTGGTTTGGTTGCCAATAAGTTCAAATGTTTTTTGGACCTCTTAGCACAATTTAACATTGAAAGTTTCTGAGACAAAAATTCTGCATCCAAATTTTTAGAATAGGGCACAACCAAGAGCATAGAGTATCAAAACAATTTCAAGTATGACACTTTTCCCCAAATGTGACATCTAGGGACACCAGAACGACGCAAGGGGGGCAGGTTTGAGTAAAATGGTGTTTGATAGATAACTCCAAGCTCTTACTAATTCTTTCTACTAACTGCCATTTTATTTCAGTCTTCTGGAGGTATCTTGAAATTGGCTAACTTTTGGCATAATGATTTATAATAAATGTTTTGAGAGATGTTGTCATGAATTAAGCACTACAATCAGAATTTCATATGAATCTCTCTGATTATTACAATTGGCCAGTTCAAGGACACTCTAATGAAAAGGGCACTCTGGCCTCTCTTGTCCCTCCTATCAGAGGGCAACAGGGGCAGTTGACCCCCCATGCCCCCTTCTCTGGCATCCCTGGTGATATCTGGTGAATTATTCAAAGAAATTCTGACTAAATTGCCACACCATACTCTTATAGGGCCTTTGGTCCAGCTAGGAACTAGAAAGAATTTGCCAAATTTTCTAGTTCGGGAGATTTTGGTGACACCACACCATTCATCGTTTTAAGTGCTTTGGCCCATTTAGAAGCTCAAAACAATTTGCCCAACTTCATAGTCTGGGAGATTTTGGTGACCTTATGCTTTTACTAAATTTTTTTCAGAAAATCTTTATCTCTGCCCTTCTGTATCTCCATCCGCCTCCTCTGTCTATTAATTCTCTGAAATTTCACCCATGACATTCTTATTCCAGACCCCATTTATTGTTTTCAAGTCTTGTGTTATAAGACATGGTGTATACAACAAAGTAACATGGTGTATACATTAAAGCATAAAGCTTGTTACAATGTAAAGAAGCACGTAAAGCAAAAACAAATAATTACACTATTCAGAACTGGATGTTTTAATTATCTGTTATCTTATAGACACATTTTTTCTCTATTGTAAGAAACCAGTTTTGTGTTTAATTTAAAAGGAATGCTAGCCATTCACCCTATTTATTATTAATTGGGGAATTTTTCCACCTTCTCCAACCGACTAAATTTAGCATTGCATTCTTGCTTAGAGCAGCCACCCTGGAAAATTTATTCTCTCATTATGTTGAGTCAATGCAGTGCTAAGTTGCAAATTAAAAGAGAAAAAGCAAACCAATGTTGGTGATGACTTAGCAAAAGCACCCATATAGCTGTTCCAATTGTAATATTTGGCACGGTCTGTAGTATTTGGCAATTGAACTCTTCTGCTCTTACTTTCAAGTATCTGATATTGGCACAATTCAAACTCAAATAGCTCTGAGAGAGAAAAAGTTAAATGAGGAAAGTTGTAAAGATTTTATAGTGATTGGTGTGTTGGGCCATCAATGTTGAATGTGAGCCCAAAACACCAATTTCATGAAAGTTTTGAAAGAAGAAAATTTTATGTACATTGTTTATGTAGACTCATTTCATCTTAATTACATGATTTTGATTTTAAGAGACACTTCGGAGCCAGGGGACTGGATTGGCTGTAGCCCCCCCCCCCCCCTTCTCAATTCACCAAAACCATGCCTCCTCATACATGCTATAGTGATAGAAAAAGACTGGGGAGAGTGCAGAATAAATCTGCGCAGAGGCTATTTCTGCGAAGCCAGTTTACAATAGAAAGGAAGTAAGAAAAAAGATCTGGCACTGTATCTTTGGGTACAGTAGCCTTGGGGGCAGTGGGACAGGCTGCTTTGAAAAGTTTAGAGATTCGAAAAGTTCAGTATCCTTTTTGCAAAATCTACACTCTTATGGCTATTACAAGATTATATGAACCCCCCCCCCCCCTTCTCCCTTTTAATTTTGATCTCTTGTTAATATGGACAATCTTCAGTATGCTTCTTGTGTGATGTTTTTTTTTAAAGGAGAATGAGCCTTTGCAAAAAACTGTTTAAATGCCACTTTGAACAGCAAAAGCTCAGAGCTTTGAAATTCACAAGGTTAAACTGTTTTCGTGTCTCATTTTTTTCTACATTCCGCTGAAATACCTCTAAATTTTAAATTTCAAAAGTAAAGAGAAAACTTTGTTGATTTATTGTTTGCGGTTCTTTCAACTATTGCTTTGGAATCTATAGTAACCATATTTCCAAGGGCAGAAATATATTCTCCTTTTTAAAAAATATATTTTCCTCCGTAGCTGGTATTTCGGGAAACTGCGCCGTGCTCACGCCGAGAGAATGCTCTTAATTCAAGGCGAAAATGGAACGTTCATTGTTCGTGAAAGCGAGAGTCGACCAAATGACTTTTCACTATCAGTGAGAGACGGGGATGGAATAAAACATTACAGAGTGCGCAGCCTTGACAGTGGAGGCTACTACATCAGCACAAAGCTGCGTTTCTCTAGCCTGCCTGAGCTCATTCACCACTATATGCATAGTGCAGATGGGCTTTCAGTTCGATTGGTGAAGCCATGTCCGGCAGAGTCACCAACCTTGCATTCGCTGTCACATAAAGACCCGTGGGAAGTACCACGGGACAGTATTACATTTAGCACAATTTTAGGCAAGGGTCAGTTTGGTGAAGTATGGGAAGGAAGGTGGAATGGCGCTATTGAAGTTGCAGTGAAGACATTAAAGGCGGGCAGCATGAGCAAGGAGGACTTCTTGAAAGAGGCAATGGTCATGAAAAAGTTGTCACATCCGAAACTGGTCCAGCTTTATGCTATATGCAGCGACTGTGACCCCATCCTCATTGTTACCGAGCTACTCCGACATGGTAATTTGCTGAAGTTTCTGCAAGAGAAGCAGGGGAAATCGCTGAAGCTTCCTGAATTGATAGACGTGTCGGCCCAGGTCGCCTTGGGCATGGCCTACTTAGAGAAAAACAATTTCATCCACCGTGATTTAGCTGCAAGGAACGTGCTTGTTGCTGATAAAAACATCGTCAAAATAGGAGACTTCGGCCTATCGAGGTTCCTGACTGATCAAAACGAAATCAAGGACCATTCTGATATTAAATTTCCCATAAGATGGACTTCTCCAGAAGCTGCCCTGGAAAAGAAATTCTCTACTAAATCTGATGTTTGGTCCTTTGGAATTTTGTTATACGAAATAATCACGTATGGTCGATTGCCTTACCCAGGAATGTCCCACCAAGAGGTTCTGGCCAGCATCAAGACCGGCTACCGGATGCCCCAGCCAGATGGCTGCCCCAATGACCTTTATCAGCACATGCTACGGTGCTGGAAGGCCAATCCAGAGGAACGGCCTACTTTCGAATCGCTTAGGTTTGACTTAGAGGACTATTTTATCATTGAAAATGGTAATTACATGGATACTGGCGCGCTATGAGTTGCCTATTCGACTTTGCGAAATCAGGGATAAATTCAAGATCAATTGAATTGTAACTTTGCATTCATCTAGAAGTTAATCTGTGATCCTCATTCTAGAACTGGTCGTGCCTGAGTCTATTTTTAGGTATAAATTTTGTGTCCGCTTGTAATATTAAGCAGTAGAAGGTATTTTATTGTAGATCATAGATCCTGCCACTCTACCGATTTTTGCCCCGAATTTTAGATTTTAATTAGATTAGTTAGTTTTTTTATAAAATAGCAGGAGGCATGTCATCCCCGCCCCGCGTGAAACGAGAAATAGCTGATTATTGAAATACCCAACTCATGTATTATATGACAATTGTTGCAGATCAAATCTATATTTCCAATGCAATATACAGGTATTTGTTGTAACAATCTCAAACATACATCTGAAAGATGTATTCAAAATAACTAGTGAATGGTTATTTTATTGTTACTGCCTCAGTAGTCTTATTTTCAATTAGGTCATCTGTGAATACACTCCTTTTTGTAAGGACAATTTTATAGGAAGCCTCAAAATTTATCAAAAGTTAAGAACAAATTTAGAATAAGCTGAAGTTGAGCTGCTGTGGAATGTAATTTTGAACAATGTTTATCTCAAAGGGTGCTTCTTCGGTGAACATTTAAACTTGTCGGCAAATAAAGAATGTCTCACCATTCACTAATTAACAATTGCACTGCTTACACCCAAGCAAGAATAATTTAAGAGCAACCCAACCTCAGATATTCGAAAAAATTAAGAACTGCTAAGAACTGCTAGCCTAAACTTCAATGTGCTGGTTCTTGTAAAAAAGAGTGTATTGCGATTTGTTGTTGAACTAGAAAACCTAATTGCCTTTGAATCTTATTAATTACGAAATTTAATGAAACATTACACTTTGAGTGTAAAAAAGCCTTGAGGGACAGATTGTCTCTTGTGTCAATTAGTCTATTGGATGGATAATTGCCGTGTCTTCCTCACGGACAATAGAGCTAGGTGTTTTAATGCAGTCAACGAAATTGACGCGAGGCCAAACGTTTCTTCTCCTGATGACGTTTTTCCAAAAGACATTATTTATTTTATGTATGCAGTCGATGATAAATTGGTAATTTTGTAAGTAAATGTGATATTTTTCTGCATTTCTTTGCTTTTGTTCTACCCGATCGAATCGTATAAATGACCTTTGGGCCACAGCTTTTGTGTACTATGACAATCAGCCGAGGATGACTCTCATTTACTTCTTCAATCGAGACCATGTGATGTCCATTATCCTAGAGACTTGCACGGGCATGTTTTTCTGACGATATTTCCTAAGCTTAAAACCGATAGCTAATTTTAGATGCATTTTGCCCTGTGCAGATCGTCGATGCGAAGTGTAGCGATGGGACGGTGGTCATCCCAGTTTTTCATTGTCTCATAGTCTCCAACGACAGGGGAAATGGCCCTCTCACGATGTTAGGTGTAAAACCATTTATGCTTAATTGTACTTTTCCCCACCCCATTTTCAACCTGCATTAGACTCCTTAAAGATATTGAAGGTGTCTGCAAGCAATAAATTCCTTTTGACGTAAGAACTGTTCATTGACCTATAAGTTCGGTGCAGCAGTAGAAGAAAGTACCAACTAAATTGTTGCTTCTAATTTCAAGTAATATTACAAACAGTTGCCCTGAGTTCATTCTAGTTGAAAGATAGAATGCCGCCACGTTCGTTATTTGAACCTGCTAGTCATTCTTATTCTTAATTCGTTATTTATGTTAAACGAGATGATAAAGGTAAAAGAAATGATGAACAAATGCAACGAATTATTCAATAAAGAGGTTGCGTTACTTTTCTTCCATAATTGTCCCTTTTTCTACTTTGATTAAATCGTTTAATTTTAATAACAGCAAGCTCTCATGCTTTTTCAACTCTGGTAGAGAACAAATGCCCTAGGCCGAGTCCTATTTTCAAGAGACTTTGTGTTGTAAATGTTATAAAGAATTTTACAAAAAGAATCTCAGTACCTCTTTCATTTCAGTATAGTTACTCAAATTGTTATTTACTAGAAAAAAATGACAGGCAACCAAACACAGAATTGAGGCTCATAACGACACACTTAAAGTCAGAACGTTAACAAAAACAGATTTCAGGGAATCTAAATGCACGTCCTTTCGAATCCTTTAATAAAAAGTTTCAATGAAAAAGTTTCATGGGCAACCATCCCACCACGTCAATAGCTTTCTATAATCGAGCACCCAAACTTTTGCTTATCTTCATCGTTTTCCCTGTCAGCTATGCGGTCGAAAAAGTCAAAGTTACAAAGCTAGTAAAACTTGAAATAATCAGCCTTGCTCCCACTTAGCCCTGGGGGCAGTGGTATACTTTGGGGGCTCGAAACTTCACTCTCCGAGTTGGTTAAGCTAAACAGCATTTGTGTTGTATAGCACTACCGAGTTAATTGATTGGTGATGTGATTTTTTCGCTGTTTCATCGGCATGTGGCAGTCTCTGCAAGCCAAATATTCTTACGAAGTATGCTACTGCAGACTGTTAGAAGCAGCCCGCTTTTAAGTCCAAAATATTCTCGTAGAGTTTCTTTGGAAAATGGAGAGAAAAGTTTGCAGTTGTGATAGTGTTGAATTGGATAAGATAGTTTTATGGCGCTATCTCATCCAATTACATCTAATGAGATTGTGAGAATTGAATGGGAAAGGTTATAAGATTGGCTCAACCTTTTGGAGCTGGGAACTAGTGACGTCATTTTGGTGTTAAAGAATGTGCTTTTGTTCGATGCTGCGAGCAAGGTTTGTGATTATAGTAGACAAAGCAGCATTTTTTTGTCTCGCATCGTTGGACATTTTGTTTCGTTACTTTTCATAAGGGAAATTTTTATCAAATTTTTCATGACGAAACCTGTTAACGAACCTACAATGCGTTTTTGCCTTGTGACAGCTTTTCAACTGGCACCAATTACATTGTTTTTAGTATTGTGTTCTTACCCTGTGATGTTTCTATGTTTGTTGTCCCGTATCTCGTAACTGTTTTTACATAAAGATAGCAAAAAAACTATTTCCATAACTCGTGACTGTTTATCAACAATTATATTGTAATATTCTAGACGAAAAATGTGAATTTTCTTTGAGAATTGACAATTTCAGACTGGAAAGTGCACGCTTATCGACGTTCTTGTTAAATAAACTAGCAAAATTTTTGTCTGTCGATATCGCCTCGTTATCTCCAACCGGCATCTTACTTGTTGTACATAAATCTAATCGGCGGTTTTCTGATTTCGTATCTGTCCAGTCTCTTTGAATCCGGCTGCTACCGTCGAGTGAAACTAAGAACGACTCACAGGCCTCCAAAACTAGACAAGTCCCTGTTTATCGCTTTTAGATGTTAAATAACAGCAACAGAAGAACACTTTACATATACCTTAAGAGCATGATCGCTTTTCAAGAAAAATGTCTTCTTCAAAACTCAACTTTGTCATCAATGAGCTAAGTTTTATTTGTGTTCTCTATCGTTATTTTATGTTAACATACAACAAAGTAACCAAAAAACAAATTCCTAGTCAAGATCCCCCACACCGTCCTACATAGCTCACAGTTCAAAAAAAGTTCAGTGAAGTTCAGTGAAAAGTTTAGTCGCGCTTTGCCACCCTCGCTAAACTTCGCTCAATTTCACCAAACAAAGTTGAGTGAAATGTTTAGTGAAATGTTGAGTAGTTTTGCAAGGGCTTAATATTGTTAGGCCCCGTTAACAAGAGAATAGATCCAATCTAGATCGTATTCAAAAGAGTGAAGATAGGCTTTGCGTTTACACGGGAAGCATTTTTCCATCGAGACAGTGTCTTTTCACTTTCTTTCATTGCAGATTTTGGTTGATGCATCAAGCACAGAGTACTGGCCATCTTCCGCAAGTATTCACGATTGTCTTCTGCAGTGACGTGGTGGCTCCAAGTTAGCTAGAGGGCGCCACTCCATTTAGGTAACTCCTAGAGAACTACGCCCTTGGTACAGCTCTATCGGAGCCGGCGAAACATGACTAAGCGTGGGCAACCACAATGTTTAGACTGTCCTGGGGTCTGTGAATTCCGCAAATATTGTTGGTGGCAACAAAATTTTTACAAATATAAATCATAGGGATGACCAGAAAGTGTATATAAAATATTTTTAACATCAATTTAGACAAAGGAAGACCCTAGGCAATGTTTAAAACCCTTTTCTTCATCAATCTTATCTATGCATCATACTAGACGCTTAATGTAGTTCTAAGCTACTTGAGCCGGAGGTAGGCAAATTTGATAGTTCCAGCAATGTCTATAGGGAACCGACACTCTTATTTGCGGTTAAGGGGTGTTTGTAATAATCTGTGGGTGTTGGATTTGAGGTAGCATATATAAGCAAATGTTATCGGCTGTCGTACTCGTGATTATCGACGGACCTTTCGATTCAAAGCTGATAAGATTACAGGTAAGGAGCAGACCAGTTAGCCAGTTGCTAGAAATGGTGCATTAAGGCTACGTGGAGTGTGTAGGGCTGGTTTGCAGGGCAGTTGAAGTAATCTCTCTAAAGCGACATTTGTACAACTCTGTAGCGGAGCAATGATCATAAACGGAGCGATGAGAAGGCTAGATTGTAGAAGCTTAGGTTTCTGAAACCTAGCATTAATTTACATGTCAATGATTTGTTTACTATATTAAGTAGAAACAGACAGAGAACAGAAGAGAACAGAAAGAGAACAGAAATAGAACAGAAGAGAATCAGAATAGAACCAAGGAATAGAGATACGGAAGAGCTACAGAAGACGAACAGAAGAGAACGGAAGCATGAAAGAAGACGAACAGAAGAGAACAGGAAGAACAGAAGAGAAGCAGAGGAGAACGGAAGAGAAGAGAAGATCAAACAGAAGAGAACGGAAGAGAACAGAGTAAGAGACAGAAAAGAGACAGAAGAGAATCAGAATAGAGACAGAAGCTAGACACAGAAAAGCAATCAGAAGAGAACAGAAGAGTAAGGAGAGAGGAATCAGAAGAGGAACAAAGATGAGAACAGAACGAGAGGACAGAAGAGGGAGGCAGCAGAGAGTAAACAGAAGAGAGAACAGAGAGAAGGAGCGCAGAGATACCAGAAGTGAGAGGAATGGGGGAAGAGAAGCAGAAGAAGAATGAAGTAAAGGAGAAAAGGAGAGAGAAACCGAAGAGAACAACAGCGATAGAGAACATTACGATCAGAACAGTAAGAGAAACGGAGAGGAACTAGACAGAGACGATGAGAAGCGGAAGAGAACAAGAATAGAACAGAAAAAGAAGAAGAGTAGAACAGAAAGATGACCAGAGTAGAACAGAATAGAACAGGAAGAAGAACAGAAGAGGAACAGAAGAGAACGACGAGAAGAAAGGAGGAACAGAAGGAACAGAAGAGAACAGAAGTGGGAAGAGAACTAGGAAGAGAAAAAAGACGAACAGACAGAGAACAGTAGAGCAGAACAGAAGAGGAAAGAAGAGAACAGAAAGAGAAGGAAGGAGAACAAGAGAACAGAAGAGACGAGAAAACAGAAAGATAATCGAAGAGAACAGAAGGAGAACAGGTAAGAGAACGATGAATGAGAAGCAGAAGAGCACAGAACAAAACAGGAAGGGAGAACAGAAGATGAACAAAGAGAACATAAGAATAAACAGAGAGGAACAGAAAGAGAACAGAAAGCAAGAACAAGAAGAGAACAAAAGGTGAATGGGGAAAGACTTAGTAGTTTATTTGGACGTTCAGCGAGAATAAAAATGGCGTAGGAGGTTTAATTAAATTGGGATTATTAGACAGAAGATTCAGGGAAGACAAATCAAAGATTCCAAACAGTGAGGATACAGGAGAAGAGAATGGAACAAGGGAAATGATAAGGGTGCAGAATATAAGAGCGATAAAGGATGGAGGAGTGAGGAGTGTGGACATGATCAGAAAGCGAGATCTAGAACGAGAGAGGCACACACACGGAGCAAAATGATCGAAAGAGATAAGAATGATTTGAAACAGAAGGTGAGAAGATGAAAAGGAATGTTGAGAGTTGGATTTGATTTGATATTCAAATTCTAGATACCATTTCTAAAAATAGGTTAGGTTAGTGTGGAATTTCTATTTGGCAAACAAAAGAA